CGCTCTATCCATTGAGCCAAACCAGCTAGGGCCATGAAGCTGAGATTTGTATTTAGTAACTTCGGACAGTCATTTAGGGGATGAATGGCAGAAACAAACTGGAACTAGAACTGGCTATGAACCCAGAGCCCATCCTCTTTTCCACACTCTGGTCTGCAGTGTTGAATAAAAGCAGACTAACCATCTTCTAGAAGTACTTTCGGATTCCAGTTCATGGGGAGTTGTGTTTTGCTAACCTGGGAGACCTTTTCCAACCCTGACTGCCTGTGACTTCAGTTTCACCCTGACCTGCAGAGTGCTGCCATCACACAGTGGCCAAGGATGCTGGCCCAGCCCCCGAAGTCTTCCTCTGGCAGCCTGTATATAGCACACCAGGGGCTACTGACTCCTGGCCTTGACTGTACTCTGCTCTGCACACCTCCCCTCCCCAAAGTCAGGGTCAGAGGCCGGCTCTTTCATCTCTTCTTTCCCCTAGCACCCAGTGTGACTACTTCACGTGATGGAGATCTGTTCTGGCCGCTTTCTCACAGCTGGCCCCAAGTGGTATCTGATGCGTATTTCCTTCCAAAATCCCAGGATAGAGTATGTAACGGTGACTCCAGAAGGATTCCGGTACCGGGGCCAAATCTTCCCAACTGTGAATGGACTTTTCAGATGGTTTAAGGATCATTACCAGGATCCTGTGCCGGGTGAGTTGCACTCTCTGACTTCAGGGCTGTGGCTGGAAGGATACCTTGGCTCTGAATCAGGGCATCACTAGCCTTCTGTGAAAGGGGGTGACGTATAGGCTGTCACTGCAGCTCTGTTACTACTCCAGCCTCTTAGCATCAGGAAGTTCTTCCATCCACTTTGCCTATGTAACTTAATTTTTCTCAGTACTTCCTTCAGTTCCCTGAATTATGAAACCAGAAACATAACTGACTCTGCCTATTTCCTGTAGGAATCACTCCCAGTAGCAGCAGCAGGACGCGGACACCTGCTTCTATCAATGCTACCCCAGCGAACCTCAACCTTGCCGGTAAGGAGCTCCCGCCTGGGACTGTGACTCAGGGATGAAGCTAGGACTTGCACCTCTAATGTGTCCTCTTCCACCTCCTTGTGCTTACAGATCTGACACGGGCTGTGAATGCCTTGCCCCAGAACATGACCTCACAGATGTTCAGTGCCATTGCTGCTGTGACAGGCCAAGGACAGAACCCTAATGCCACCCCAGCCCAGTGGGCGTCCAGCCAGTATGGCTATGGTGGCAGTGGAGGGGGCAGTAGCGCTTACCACGTACGTGGCTTGGACGGGAAGCTCTTCGTGGAGGGTGGGGGGAAATTAAAGGGAACAGTCATCCTGTGTCCATAGACTGGCTGCTGGCAGTGCCCACCTTTATGCACAGATGGGCCTTATCTACAACAGATCATCCTTCTCCTCAGGTCCATTTGAGGGCGAAAGGGAATAAGAGGAGGTCTGATCCTTCTGCAAAGTCCTTGGGATCTTTGGAACCCTCAAGCCACTAGAATCCTCAACTGGTCAGGACCAGGAGGCCCTATTGTTGTGCCTGGTCCCATTCCATTGGCCTCCTATCTGCTCAGGAGAGGGCCAACTGGAAAACTTTGCAGAAAGTCATGGGAACCTTAAGTATGCCTCAGACCCATCCCCATTTAACTGATCACTCTTCTCCAGGTGTTCCCAACGCCAGCCCAGCAGCCAGTGGCCACACCACTGATGACCCCCAGCTACTCCTACACAACCCCGAGCCAGCCCATCACCACACCTCAGTACCACCAGCTACAGGCCAGCACCACCCCACAGTCTGCCCAGGCCCAGCCCCAGCCCTCCTCCAGCTCTCGGCAGCGGCAGCAACAGCCAAAGTAAGTAAATGGGTGGACAATGGAGCAGGTTATTAGTAAGGGCAGGTGCTCTGGATCTTCTGAGAGCTGTGACCCAGGTGATGCTCCCATGACGTGTTCTGGGAGATGACAGAAGAGGGCAGTGTGGCAGTTGGCCATAGCTACTGACCATAGGTATGAAGTCCACTTCTGCAAGGGTGGATGTTCACCAGTGACTGGTGAGCCTTCTAGTGTTCCAAAATTAAAGGCCCTTCTTCTCTCTTCCAGGTCCAACAGCCACGCAGCCATCGACTGGGGGAAGATGGCGGAGCAGTGGCTTCAGGAGAAGGAGGCTGAGCGACGGAAACAGAAGCAGCGGCTGACACCTCGGCCGTCCCCCAGCCCTATGATTGAAAGCACCCCCATGTCTATTGCTGGCGATGCCACCCCGCTCTTGGACGAGATGGATCGGTAGGGGGCCTGCTCCCAGGACTCTGATTACCTCTGAGGCTGGGAGACGCCTGCCTCTTTCCCTGCCTCTCCTTTTCTGTCCATAAAGTGGCGTGAGTTGACGTTCTCTTTGGTGGTCAGCCTGGGTGGGTGACAGGCTGGATGGCCTTTTGAACTTGAGCTCAATGTATGCTAGGCGACAATTCTCCCATCCCAGGCCCTCACCGACCACCTTTCCTGGGACCAGGCTGGGAAGGGAGTGTGGCAGGGAGGAAGAGGAGGAAGATGAGACTAAGAGTGGAACAGTTTTGTATTCTACTTCCCTACAAGCCATTTTGAGCTTCTGCCCTTACCTGACTCTGGGCTGTGACCGGGCAGCAAGCTCAGCACATGAGTCTCCCCCAGCTCTTACGGGGAGACAGATGCTATTTATTCAGTTTGGGGCAGGAGGAAGAGGACGGGAAGTGTTTCTGACCTTAATGCCAACAACTTGGTGGCTATCGTAGCAGGATTGTAGGGGACATACGGTTGCAGTGCTAACCTGCCCAGCCCCCTCCTGGCCATCCTCACCCACCTGCTGCCACCGCTGCTTCCTGCCTGTCATTTGAATAAACAGTGTTTCTACAGAGCACTTGACAAAGTCTCTCTCTCCCTCTCTGGTCCTTGAGGGGTGGCTTTCAAAGCAGAGTTTGGAGCTCGGAGGGTTTCCGACTCCCTGCTCCAGGCCATCAGAAAGGCAAGTTACTCAGAAGCAGGTGGCTTCTGCACCAGATTGCCTGAGATCACATTCCTGTTCCACTTCCCAGTCCTATGACCTTGAGCGCACTCCTGTTATCTCTAAGCCAGCTTGTCTGCAAAGGAGACTGTGATACCTACCTCATCAGAGCATCTATGAGGACAGTTAGAATGTGTGAAGTGCTTGGCCCAATGCCTGGGACCTCACAAGGCCTCAGTCAATGTTAGCTGCTATTATTTCTGCTCACACACAGCCACTGCCCGCCACTGTGCCTGTTACAGATGGTCCCCAACTTAATGATTCAACTTAAGATTTTTTTACTTTATGGTGGTGCAAAAGCTATATACGTACAGTAGAAACTGTACTTCAAATTTTGAATTCTGCTCTTTTCCTGGGCCAGTGATATGCACTAGGATACTCTCCTGATGCTGCATGATACTGGGCAGCACAGCAGTGAGCTGTAGCTCCCAGGCATGCGAGCTGTCACCTGGGTAAACAACCGATCAACAGTGTGTTCATTGTGCTAGATCAAGCATGACAAACTCTGGCCCACGGGCCACATGTCTCATTTCTGTGGCCTGTGTTAGCCTTTGACTTTGACATGCTTGTGCTAGATGCTTTTGCCCAACTATAGGCTAATGTAAGTATTCTGAGCACGTTTAAATTAGACTGAGCTAAGGTGTGGTGTTCGGGTGTGGTAAGTGCATTTTCGACCTAACGCTATTTTCAACTTACAGTGGGTTTATCAGGACGTAAACCCATCATAAGTCAAGGGGCGCCTGTGGACTTGTTTGGCACAGTTGAGAAAGGCCACAAGTAAATCTGGGTTTCTCCCCCCGAGTCCCTGCATCTCCTCCTTTTTGCCAGCTGGGCAAGGATGACTGGCAGTACTTCTTCATCAGTCAGGTGTGTCTGACCCAGGATGGGCCCACACTTGCCTGCTACACACAAACACTGGCCCTGGAAGAGGGAGCTGGGCTGTTGCAGGCCAGTTCCCAGGCCTTGGTCCTTTTACTCTGGACTCTGGTCTCCCTGTTTCTTCCCAAAGGTTTTGTCTCATAGCTCCGAGTCCGCGCTGGGATAGTGAGGCTTTCCCTCTTTTCCTCTGCTTGAGGCTCAGCAGAGAAGTAAAAAAAAAAAAAAAAAAAAAGCCACTGCTGCCCAAATTTGGTGAACTCCCTTCCTTGCCTTTTTTTTATTTGAGAGAGGGAGAGCGAAAAAGGGAGAACCATCAATCAGCTGCCTCCTGCAACTCCCCCACTGGGGATGAGCCTGCAACCATGGCATGTGCCGACAGGCAATCGAATTGGTGGATCTCTCAATGCATGGAATGACACTCAACCAATTGAGCCACACTGGACAGGGCCCTTCCTGGCTTTTTCTTCATTTAAGATCTCTAGCTTTTGGCAAGAGTTGGGGGGAGAAGGGGAGGGGTTGGCCTTCAGTAGGGAACTCGGTTCAGTTCCCTTTAGCACAAAAGGTATAGAGGGCCTCATAGGAGCAGGTCCACAGAGCTGGTAAGATCATGTTCCCTTTGGGGCTACCAGCACCTTCTCCAGGGCCACTTAAAGGAGGGGAAGGGCAGGCACAGTGGCAGAGGTTAAAAGGTTCAGTTTATTAGGGATATCGTTACAGATGATCTCGCCTGTCCCAGAGTGGATTTAACCCTAACACAGACCAGCCTCCCAGTAGATGGGAAGCCTCCTTCCCTCCTCACCCAGATGTGCTCTTCTGCCCTGGGCCTCGGGTGTTACAAAGAAACAGGCTGTTACAGTGGCCCTCCCTGCCCTTCCACCTCCTTCCCATGGACTTCCTCTTGGAAGACGACTGCCCTATAGAAACCTGCCCTATAGAAACCGCTGAGACCCCTAGCCCCTTTGCTCCAGCTATGCCCAGACCCGGTCCCCTCCCCACAAAAGTAGCCATGTTAGAGAACAGCAGCAGGGGGTCTGGGACAGGCATGATGGCATTTATTCTTCACCCTGGTCGCCCTGGCCTCAACTGAGATTGGGGTTGGATACTGGGGGGGATTTCCTCTTGTTGACCTTCTTGATTGGAGAGGGTTTTGCCCCAAGTTTCTTGCACTGGCCCGAGTTCTTCTCTCTCTTTCTGGGTGATGACTCCACAATATCCTCGCTGGAGGGCTGCTCCTGCCTGGGGTCATTGTAACTGTCCTCACTCTCCAGGTCTTCCCGGCTGTCTGGGCTGGATTCTGACAGCCTGACCAGCTCCCTTGGGCTTAATGATCTGCTCAAGTCTGGAGGTGAAGATTCCGATTTAACTGGGCTTTTCTTTTTAGTCAACTTGCCCTTCTTGATTTTTTTCTTCAGCTTTGTCTTCTCATCTGTCTCCTCCTCGTCTTTCTCTTTTTCCTTTTTCTTCTTGACCTTCTTGATAACCTTGCTGCCCTGGGACTTCCCTGTGGGACTCTCCGAGCGCCAGATGGTAATGGGAGCCGCCGAGTCTGGTGCGCCGGTGATGGTGCCCATTGCTATGCCTTTGTCAGTGGCGGGGGTGGCAGTGGGCCCCACCTGGGAAGGGATGGGAGGTATGCTGTCTTCCTCCTCTTCCTCCTCTTCCTCCTCTTCATTTAGGTCATCTCTAAATTCGTGGTGGAGGGGGTGGTGGATCACTGCCACAGAGATAGGCCTGTAGCCTTTGCACCTGGGAGTGAGGACAGGGAAAGAGAAGGTTGGCAGAAAGTGAGGGCCAGTGCCCCACGGCGCCCCCATCAGCCTGCCAGCACTCACCAGCCATACCAGAACCGCTCCACATACTCATCCTCCGGGATGAGCTCATAGCAAGGGGTCTGGATGATGTCGAAACAGGGTGCATCTCGGGGACAGGATGCATCTCGGGAACAGGTTGCATCTCGGGGACAGGTTGTGTCTCGGGAATAGGTTGTGTCTCGGGAATAGGTTGCACCTACATCTTGGGAGCTGCTATTTGCCTTCTCTGCACACTCCTTCACCCTGCCACACAGAACTCAGCCTGGCTCCCACACCTCCGTCCGGGACTCCCCAGGGGCCCAGAGCCAGAAGCCTGAAGCACAGTGGGCTTTCCAAGTAGTCACTGCAGCTCAGCCCAGGCTGCCATGACCTCCTCCCCATTGCTCTTGGGGCAGAGCCAGCTTTACAAAGCCGGGGTTGGGCTGGCAGTGTCTGGTCAACACTACAGCAGTGAAAGTTTGGACCTGGCTCCGCCCTGGAGTCTCCTGGACTGCGGATCTCCCAAGGAGGAGGGTCCTTACCTAGAGTCACAGTCACAGTGGCTGAGCGAGTGCAGGTGCAGGTTGTAGTGATCACAATCACAATCAGAGGTGAAGGGGTGGATGACATGCCCAGTGCACTGCTTGTGATTCCAGCAGCACCTGTCAGTGTCCTTGAATTCGCCTAAGGGGTTGGAGTCTTGGTCATATACGAGTGGCGGTAGCAGCACATCTGTGGGTCTCTCCTTCCACAGCTCAGTCTACATGCTTCACCAAATTCACCTGCCACCAACCCCTCCCTCCCTCTCACACACACACACACACCCGCAAACAGCTGTTTCCACTTCATAGTAGTAATTCAGTCCCACAATCACCAGGTCTCAGCACTAGGCTTTCCCCAATCCACTGCATGAATCACACTCCCAGGAAGATGTCTCACCAAATCCCCCTTGCTGCCCTGTGACACCTGCCTCTTCCCTTCTCCTGCCTTCTGTGGGAACCTACCTCCCTGGGGCCCTCCACTGGCTCTTGCAAGTCCCCAGTGATTAGAGCCAGCAACACAGCATCCTCAGTTCCTCAGTTCCTGCCCTGCGCACGCCCAGGAGGCCTTCATCCGACCCCTCGCAGCCTCTCATGCTATTCCAGCCCAAGGACGGCCACAGCATGGTGGCTCAAACCTGGATGGGAGCTATCGCCTATCCTACCACTGTCATGCCCCCTTGCTTCTCCTGACTCTGGTCCTTCCCTTTTTCCTCCTCTCCTCCAGGCTCCTTCTCTCTCCAGGCACTCTTCTCACATCTCTCCCCTTTCCCTCGCTCGCTCTGGATTCTTTCCCTGCTCTTTAATCATCAAATTCCCACTTCCCCTCCACTCTCACCAGTCCTTGGAGCCACCGACTTGAACCACCCACCCCCAACCTGAGTCCTCCTTCCCCTGTAGGCAGCACAGATACCATGTCCGCTTTGCCAGGGAACAGGGGAGGTGCTGCTGGGGTGAGAATTGGGATTACGGGAAAGCCCTGGAGAAAGGTTCCCACCTCTTTTACTCAACGGAATGCAAGTCCTGGATACACACTGGAGCCTCCCAGCCTCTACTGTACTGCTTCACCTCTGACCCTGCCTAAGACAACAGCCCACCGATGGATCTCTCCCCGGCCACCCTCCAAAAGGTAAGCCCAGGAAATGCCTCCACGTGCCCAGGACCTCACACATCAAGGCAGAGAGGCGAGGACAAGGAACCTATCCTGCAGGTCTCCCCTGGACTCTGACCACCCAGGTTGGGAGGGGAAAGTGGGTGAACACCAATGACTTCCATAGCAGTCTGGCATGGGGTGCCATGATGGCTACTCCCCACTCAACAGGCCAGGAGGATTGCATCTTTATCCAGCCCCTACAAGGTGTGGAACTGGGGCAAGATCTCATAAAACCCTGGCTGGGGGTGTGTGAGGCCAGGTGGCCTTAAATCCTTGAGAGATGGGTAGACAGCAGCGTGGTCTGAGCCTTGCCCCACATTCCTCCCTTCCCTGCCCCTACCAGGCTGCGAGGGTCCCAGGTCCCCATATACCCTTGACCCATTTGGTGGCCTCCCTATCTGCTTCCTCTTCTCTCACGTCCTTTCTTCATAAGTATGTGAGGCAGGACTTTGGAATACCACCACACCCTCAGCTTTCTTCAGCACTGCTGATTTGGGGCGAAGGTCAGCATAGTGGCAAGTGTCCTTGAAATCAAATAGGCCTGAGTCCAAGTGTTGGCTCTGTCACAAGGTGGGTTACTAAGGACCAGTCACTTTACTTTTCCAAGTCTTCATTTTTCTGCCCACAAAATGGGGGTGATGGCACCCTGGCCAGTTGGTTAGAGCATCGTCCTGATATACCAAGATTTGCACAAGGTTTCAGGTTCAATCACATCAGCAACCAATGAAAGCATAGATAAGTAGAACAACAAATCAATGTTTCTCCTCCTCCCCGCTCTCTAAAAAAGTCAATAAATTAATTTTTTTAATGGGGATGGTGGTTGTTGGAGAACTCAGTTCAAATGTCAAAGATATTTGTGCCCCATAAAGTGTTATACAAAGGGGTGATTGTGGTCTCCAGGAAGGGGCCCTCTCTGGCATGCGTAGGGGGTGGTGTAGGGTGGGGCTGCAGGGTAACCCCTTCAGAACCAAACACTTCCCTCCCTTCTGCCTACCACTCGGTGCCAGCTTTCCCACATTAGGGGCGGTGGGACCTCTGGGGCCAGAGATTCCCCCAGACCCACCTTCAGAGGAGAAGATAGATGCATCAGTGCTAGACGCCACACCAGCCAGCAGATGTCCTCTTTCCCAGCTGGGTAACCTGTTAACATCTGAGAGAGAACAGAGTGGCCACAGGCAGCATCTCTCCCCATGCCATTCGTTCATCAAAGATTTTCTGAGATGCCGCAGGTGTCAGGCACCAGCTGCATCCAAGATGCAGATTTACAAAAAAAAAGTCCCTGCTTTCAAGGGGCTGGGAGAGGGTTCGAGAAGAGGCGCAGGGGCGGTATGTGGATAGTTCATGACTGTGGTGTGATGCCAATACTGATGGGGAAAAGGTGGGAAGGAGGCCTGTGGAAGCAGAGAACAAGGGCCCCCTAAAGGCCATGAGGGTGTGGGGCAAGCATGTCAAACTCAGGTGGTCTGAGTGAGTCTGACCTGCTTAGTGTAGGTTGAGATTAGGATAGGATTCTTGAAAGAAGCTTAACAGGAGCTGAATCTGGAGAAAGAATAGGAGTTAGCCGAAACTGGTTTGGCTCAGTGGTAGAGCGTCGGTCTGCAGACTAAAAGTCCCAGGTTCGATTCCGGTCAGGGGCATGTACGTTGATTGCGGGCACATCCCCGGTAGGGGGTGTGCAGGAGGCAGCTGGTCGATGTTTCTCTCTCATCGACGTTTCTAGCTCTCTATCTCTCTCCCTTCCTCTCTGTAAAAAATCAATAAAATATATTAAAAAAAAAAAAAAAAAAGAGTAGGAGTGAGCCAACCTAGACTAGGAAGGACAGACAGTTCCAGGGATTGTCATAGGGTGTGTGGAGCTGGGTCAGGGTTGTCCGCCAGCAGAACTTCAACCGGGGCAGCAGCTGCATCAACAGCCACAGGGGAGAGCCTGCGCTTAGTTTATCCTGTGGGGCATCAGGAGCTGAGTTCCGCTTCAGAAAGGAAGCTGCGCCCAGCCAGCTTGGCTCAGTGGCTGAGCATCAACCTATGAACCAGTAGGTCACCATTCTATTCCCGGTCAGGGCATATGTCCAGGTTGTGGGTTTGATCCCCAGGTGGGGGCATACAGGAGACAGCCAATCAATAATTCTATCTCATCATTGGTGTTTCTCATTCTCCCTCTCCTTTCCTCTCTGAAATCAATAAAAATATATTTTTTAAAAAGGAAGCTGATAACTTGGGGACTTAAAGTGAGCCTTCAGTGGCACTTGGTCATCTTTTCACAGTTCCCTGGTCAGCTCCTTCTGCTTTCCACAGCACTTCCCTGGAAACTCCTTTCCTGCTGCCGTTCCTTCCAGCGGATCATTTCACCAGCCTCATCTTGGCTGCTCCCACCCTCATCAGCTCTCCTCCAGCCTGGGGAAGCGTCCCTTCCTCCTGCCCAAGGCACCTGAACTTTAGGTCCCAGCCAGAATTTGATCTCCTAATTTAATGGTTTGTTTCCCCCATAGGCTATCAACAACTTAAACAAAGCTCTATGAACCCTATTTCTCCCTCTAACACTACATATCCCACTCCTCTTCCTTTTCCATCCAAGTTTATCTACTCATTTAACAGACATGTTGAGTAGCTTTACTGACACCAGAGGCACAGACCTTCCCTTCAGTGAGCTCAGAATCTTCACCTCTGCCTCTATTCCAGCCACCTACAAGTGGCAGCCTCCCCGCCCCTCTATGGGATTAGCCCAAGGCAAAAGCTATCAACAATTTCCCAATAGCCACACCTGGCGTGGCCTTCTTTTTGTCTTATCTCACTTGACCCTGCTAACCAGAATCTCTTCTGTATGCTCTATTCCTTCGACTTCCATGCAAACCTCATTCCTCTTTTTTCTCTGACAAGCTCTTTAGTTCTTGCCTAACTCCTCTACTGTACCCCTTAAATTGATGATCACCAGGTTTCTGTTTTACTCTACTTCTCAGAGTACTTGTCTTGGATAATGTCATCCACCTCCATGGTTTCAGCATCCACAACACAACACTGGATGGGTCTCCAATCCAGACTGCTCTGCTGAGCAGGTGCCAATATCTTCTTGGATGTTCCCAAACATCTTAGACCAACATGTCCCACGTGAACCTACCATCTTCTTCCTACATTCCATGAGCCACCCCCTCTTCTATCTTCCATTTCAGAGAGCAATAGACACCACAGCTAGAAATCTAAGTGTCACCCTCTCCCTCATTTCTATACCAACTTGATGACCAAGTCTTGTCTTGCCTTTCTGTTCCCACATCTACCCCTAACTTGGTTCACACCCTCATTATCTCTCACCAAGACAACTGCAGCAGCCTCCTGCGCCTCCCACCTCCTGCCTCATTACCCTCATACAGTCCTCACAATGCAGCCAAAGTGAGTTTCTAGATGCCAACTGGTCTACCATGTTCCTCTTCTTTAATAGAATTCTATTGTCTTCAAGATGATGTCCTTATCTTGTCCCCACCCCAGAACCAGGGCCCTGGTTCATTTCTGTTATCAGCTCCTCCCACTCATCCATCCCCTTCTCCATTCCTTCTCTCCTGCCTCCCACCACCCAGAAATACCTGCTCATCTTGGAAAGAACAATGTTATCTATCAAAGTAGAATTGGTCACACATGTCCCATTTACCCTGCCAGGGTACCTATGCATTTATGGCAAATCAAGCACAAGACCCGTATTTCATCTGTTTCTGCTTTTACAGATCCTAGGATATAGAAAGCACTCAGTAAGCCCTAGCTGGGTAGCTCAGTTGATTAGAGCATTGTCCTGATATGCCAAATTTTGGGATTTATCCCTGGTCAGGGCACATCAAAAGTCAACCAATGGCCAGGACCAGTTTGGCTCAATGGATAGAGCGTTGGCTTGGGGACTGAAGGGCCCCGGGTTCGATTCCGATCAAGGGCATGTACCTTGGTTGTGGGCATATCCCCAGTGGGGGGTGTGCAAGAGGCAGCTGATTAATGACTCTCTCTCATTGATGTTTCTAACTCTCTATCTCTCTCCCTTCTTCTCTGTACAAAAATCAATAAAATATATTAAAAAAATAAATATAAAAAAATAAAAAAGTCAACCAATGAATGCATAAATAAGTGGAAAAATAAATCAATATTTCTCTCTCCTATTGATATTTCCCTTTTGCTCTCTCTCTTCCTCTTTCTCTAAAATAAAATCCATAAAATATCCTTGCATGAGGATTTAAAGAAAAAGAAAGCCCTAACTGCTTTGGCTCAGGGATAGAGCATCGGCCTGTGGACTAAAGGGTACCAGGTTCAATTCTGGTCAAGGGCATGTACCTTGGTTGCGGGCACATCCCCAGTAGGAAGTGTGCAGAAGTCAGCTGATTGATGTTTCTAACTCTCTATCCCTTTCCCTTCCTCTTTGTAAAAAATTAAAAAATTAAATAAAATAAAAAGGAAATTCTCAGTATATATTCCCAGGATGGTAGATTGAAAAAAGAAAAAAAAAAACAACCATGAGCCTAGCCAGTGTGGCTTACTGGGTGAGCATGAACTTATGAACCAAAAGGTCATTCCCCTTCAGAGCACATGCCTGGGTTAGGACTCCATCCTCGGTACGGGGTGTGCAGGAGGCAGCTATTAATGATTCTCATCATTAATGTTTCTATTTCCCTCTCCCTCTGAAATCCATAAAAAATTTTAATTGCCGGGACCGGTTTGGCTCAATGGATGGAGCGTCGGCTTGGGGACTGAAGGGTCCCGGGTTTGATTCCGGTCAAGGGCATGTACCTTGGTTGCGGGCATATCCCCGGTAGGGGGTGTGCAATAGGCAGCTGATCCATGACTCTCTCATCGATGTTTCTCTCTATCTCTCTCCCTTCCTCTTTGTATAAAATCAATAAAATATATTTTTAAAATTTTTTTCTTAATTACTACTGTATTCAATATATATATTTTTTTAAATCTATATGCAGGTTCCACTAACTTCCTCTAAATCCTGACAATCGTGTTTGCCAAGGGGTGGGATTTAGTAACTCTCCTCACATCTGAGGAAGGCAATCTGCTCTCTAGTTTCACAGGCAGAACGAGGGAGCGCCCACTGAAGCAGGGTCCAAGCTCCTGCAGCCGAAGTGATTGAGGTTAGACATGGGGTTGGGAGGGGGGACTTCATAATGAATGAGGAGGGTAATGACTTAGAAGAAAGAGGGAGGTGTGCGTCCTCCTTCTCCATAAGGCATTAATCAGGGAGCAGAGACCTAACTCAAAACTCACAGGAGATGTTCATTTGTACAGAAGCCTCTCAAAACTCACAGGTGATGCTCATTTGTACAAAATCCTCCCCGTCCTGCGGGCGAGAAGCTCCCCCGCGCCCTGACAGTACAGGCGGTGAGATTCCAGGTTCGACGCAGGAGCAGATAGATGACTGAGGGAGGTAGGGAGGGAAGGCGAGAGGGAGAAAGAAAGGGGGCGGGAAATAACAAGGGAGGGAAGGAGGGAAGAGGAGGGAGCAACGCACGCACAAGAGTGCACGCGTCTCCTAGGCAACGCCACCCCGGCCCCGCCCACGTTTGTCCGCGATTGTGATGTCACGCTCGGAGCACCAGGTTCCGTGCCCTCAGAGTCAATAGAATCGTCCGCCCAAGCTCCGGCGACAGGGTGGACGCTGGGCCGTGGGCTCCAGCCGGGCCTCGCACTACTCGGGGTACTGCCCGGGCTCCGAGCTGCTGCCGAGCGAAGGCTCCGGGCCGTACGGACAGGAGTCACAGCTCCCGCCCCCGCCAGACCCGGAGCTCATTCGCAGGCCCTCGGGACGCCAGTCCTCCACCATTGGCCCGCGGCTCGCCGTGAGCCCGCCCCCAGGCGCTGGCCCCGCCCCCGCCTGCCCTTGACCCCGCCTCCTTTGCCTGGCTCCCTGAGTCCTCGGGCGGGTCCCTCAGCCTCGGCCGCGGGTCGGAGCCCGCCCCTAATCCTCTGCCCCGCCCTCGCCTTACCAACGCTGCTCTCATCCCAGAAGCTGGCACTGTCCTCAGTCTTTTCCTTAGTCCACCTTTCAATGGTCATTGTTGTCCTCATCCACATCGCTCTCGGCCCGGTTCTTCCCCTCTACAAGGCTCTGCCCCGCATAAGTCCAAACCTGAACCTCGGCTTGGCTTCAACCCCAATCTCAGCGCGGCCCCTTAGCTCTGCCTCATGCTGGCGCCCCCCCGCCGCCCCCTGTCCCCGCCCCGAATCTCAGCTGCGGTGTCTCCTCAGCCCAAGTCTAAGCTTCAGCCACGCTCTTCATCCGGGGCAGGCACCCAGCGCCTCCCAGGCTCGTCCTTCCCTCTGGGTTCCACTTTAAACCTCAGTACCTCACCTTTCACCTCAGGCTCAAACCTTAGCTAGGCCGCTCTGGCCCATCCTAGTTCCTCTCCAGACCTACCCCCAGCTCTTATTGTTTCCTACCCCCTACCCAGACTTTGGCCCCGCCCCTGGCCCCGCCCCATCCATTCTCCCGCCTTCACACTTCGCTCCGCTCCCGGCCCCTCCCAGTCCCTTCGAACCCCCGCCGGCCCTTAGCTCCGCCCCCAATCTACCACGTGGCGCCCTCCTCGCGGCCAGGGCGCCCGCTTCCACCCTCCACCCCGCCATCCCGGCTTCCTCCAGGCCTGGCGGAAGGCCCATCACTGCTCTCTCTGCGCCTGCAGTCCTCGGATGAGGGCTGGAGCCGATCCCAGCCCCAAGGTGGCGCCCACCGCCAGAGCTTCTTACCAGTATTCCCCACCAGCCCCCATGAGGCACCCAGACCCAGAGGAATACTAGCAGCCCAATAAAGATCTTTTTTTTTTTTTCTCAATAAAGATCTTAACAGCCAAAACCGGTTTGTCTCAGTGGTTAGAGCATCAGCCTTCGGACTGAAAGGTCCCAGGTTCGATTTCGGTCAAGGACATGTACCTTGGTTGCAGGCACATCCCAAGTAGGTGTGCAGGAGGCAGCTAATCGATGTTTCTCTCTCATCGATGTTTCTCTCTATCCCTCTCTCTTCCTCTCTGTAAAAAAAATATCAATAAAATATATATATTTTTAAAAAACATCTTAGCCAAAACCGGTTTGGCTCAGTGGATAGAGCGTCAGCCTGCAGACTGAAAGGTCCCAGGTTCGATTCCGGCCAAGGGCATGTACCTTGGTTGCGGGCATATCCCCAGTGGCCGGTGCGCAAGAGGCAGCTGATCGATGTTTCTCTTTCATCGATGTTTCTAACTCACTATCTTTCTCCCTTCCTCTCTGTAAAAAATCAATTAAAAAAATTTTTTTTAAAGGACTTAACAAAAGGCAGGATCTTGTTCAATTTCCCAAAAAAATTATAATAGTTAAGGATTTTGAGCCCTCCTATGTATAAAGCTCTTCCTATGTTAGTGCTTTGTCTTACTTCAGTCACACAACCTTATGTGTCTCCATAGGCTTGCCCAGTGCTGGGAGCAGGATCCACTGTATTCATAGTAACCTATGACACACCATACACCCCTCACACCCTTACACCCCTCACACCCTTCCGGATAGTATGCACATTGCGCATGCTTGTATCACACATATAGCACACATAACAAAATCTACTCACCACACACAGACTAATACAGTATGCACACACCCCTCACAGAGGCTATCCAGAAGACAGAACCATACCCCCTGCTTCCCACATTTTACTCAGCACAAACACTCCGCAACACAAACACACACACACACACACACACACACACACACACACACAGTTACAGGCTCAGGGCAAGGAAAGGGTTGATAAGTGCAGTCCTATAAGGGCACAAAGATAAACAAAAAACAATTCCAGGAGAGTGTGAAAGAACGTTAGAGCCCCATTACCAGCACTCCACACATCACGCCCCTCAATTTTTCTTGGTCTCAGGCCCCAAAGTGAGGTTATGCCTCACAGGATGGAAAGGAATGGATGGTATTTAACCTTTGTTTTCTCCAGAGAAACCCAGGGCCCCTCCTGCTGCTGCTCTTCAGGAGGCCAACCTTCACTTTCTTCCAGACCCAGCCATGTGACTGGGTAGGACCACCGCCCAGAACCTCCAGCTGTAGGCACAGCAGGGGATGGGGAAGCCAGGGCAAAAGGGGGGTGTGCAGAAAAAGTCAACCCTCCCAGCACAGAGAAGCGGGGAAGAATGAAAGCAGGCATAGAACGGACAGAGAACTTGCTGCCAGGGAGCCAGGATCTGCATGCTAATCTGGACCCCCCATGGTCTCCCAGGATGGCGCCAGGCCACGTGTCCCTCCCCTGTTGGTCCAGATGGCTGAGATGCTTCCAACTAATGTATACATCTGAGTCAGATGTCAACAATGAGCCGGGTTCTTGGTCACTCCTCCTGTAAATAATTATTAGTTGAGGTTTTTGAGCTCTTCCTATGTACTTAGTAGTGCCTTATTTCATCCATGAAACCTCAGCAGTATTATCAGCCTTGTTTTATAGATGAAGAAAGCGAGGCACAGAGGATAAGTGATCTGCCTGAGTGTCCTAGGACACAAGAGGAGGCAAGTAAGGATTCATTGATTGGCTGCCTCTTGCATGTCTCCCAATGGGGATCAAGTCCGAAACCCAGGCATGTGCCTTGACTGGAATCAAACCTGGGACCCCTCATTCCACAGGCTGATGCTCTATCCACTGAGCAAACCAGCCAGGGCCACATTTTATTTTTTACTCCATTTAGTTCTTTAGTTATGCTTTAAGATGTAAAAAGGTACCACTTGTAATTTTATGTTTATACCCCTAATATAATTAGGTATTAGGTAACATATTTTCTGAATAATAGTCTAGCCCCTACCTCCTTGGACCTCATGATCAATCCAAAAAGTATCAAAAACACAATCCACTTCTCACTGTGTTCTCAGAGAAGTATTTTTTAAAGGGAAGGTGGGCCCTAGCCAGTATGGCTCAGTGGATATAGCATCAGTCTATGAACTGAAGGGTCCTGGGTTCAATTCTGGCCAAAAGTACATGCCCGGATTGCAGGCTCTTCCCCAGTAGGAGGCATGCAGGAGGCAGCCGATCAATGACTCTCTGTCATCATTAATGTTTCTCTCTCTCCCTCTCCCTTCCTCTCTGAAATCAATAAAGAAATATATAAAAAATAAAAAATAAAGGGAAGGCGGACCCTAGCTGGTTTTTCTCTGTGGTTAGAGCTCAGCCAGCACATTGGCCTCAGATTGAGGGGTTCTGGGTTTGATTCCAGTCAAGGGCATGTACCTCAGTTGTAGGCTCCATCCCGGCCCTGGTGGGAATGTGTTGGGGAGGCAACCAATCAATGTTTCTCTTACATGATGTTTCTCTCTTTATTCCCGCTCCCCCTCCTTTCCACTTTATAAATCAATGGAGAAATATTCTCGGGTGAGGATTAACAAAATAAATAAAAGGGAAGACAGGAAGAGGCAAAAGAAGAAGAGAAGAAAAGGAAGGAAGAAAGGGAGGGAGGAAGGAAAGAATATTATATAATAGCAGAAATCTGGGTATAAACACCAAGTAGGAGAACACATTTTGGGGGAAAGGATGAAAGGAAAGGGCTCTCAAAGCCAACAATTCAGATCTCACCCAGTGAGAGTGCAGCCCCTCACTCCCCCAAACATGGTCCCTGAGCTCCCCACCTGCCTGAGGCTTGCCCAGGGGACAGAGATGTCCAGCTCTAGTCCTAAGATCCAGTCCCAAGATCACCAGACAGCCCTGCCCTCATCCCAACAAAGGACTTCACCCCCAGGCTGCTGATAACAGAGACTTTAATGCATAAGGCACAGCAGAGGCTGGGACCACTAAGCATCCTCCTACCAGAAGGCCCAGCATGTTGAGCAGAAGCGGCAGGAACCACCTCCCCCCACCGGGCACCCTGGAGAGTGGCTGGATCGAGGGGCATCCAGTCTTTGGTACGGTGCCCAGGGGCAGGAAGTGACTAGCATGGTCCCAACTACCCCTCTGGGGGTACTGCCACCAACGGGCAGCTCTTTGGTTTGGAGTAACAGTCAGTGCAGCTGTCCAAGGACCGAGCTCTAGGCGAGTCGAGATGGCACGGTGCCCTGGGGCTAGGCAGCCCCTCACAAGCAACATGGGGGCTTCTTCCTGCTGGCAGTCAGGTAGAGGTTGTTATCATCACTGTTGATGCCTGAAGAAGAGTGAGGAGTAAGTGAAGCAGGGATGGCAGGTTCCCCACGCTTTCTGCCACCCTCTTCCAGGTGGGAACTCACGGACGACATCCCCAATGCGCCGGGCCCCTGATCTCTCCAGCTCAGCCAGCACGTTGGCCTCGAAGGTCAGTGCCGCCACGCGGAAAAAGAATTCCCGGACATTTTCACCTGACACAAGGGAGAGATGGGTGCTCAGGGGCCCTTCCGGCCTGGGGTCCCTGGCCGGGGTGTAGGGGTGAGAGGCCAGGGAAGCAGGAACGCCACGCAGCAGGCCTAACGCCTCTTCCTCACCCGTGAGCGACGAGACTGCCCAGTACTCAGCCTTCATCTCTTGGGCCATCTTGAGCGCGTCTCTCTCCATCAGCACGTACTGAGCGGGCGTCTGCAGGGGAGTCAGGGTCAGGGGGGGAGGGCTCCCTCACCGAGATGGGAAGGTCCCCCTCTGGCACACTCACACTCAGGTCCTTCTTGGAACCCACAAGGAAGAGAAGCACGCTGGAAGGGTCGTTCTCCTTGAGTGCGTCGGCCAGCCACTGCCTGCCACAGACGGTGGACAGCAGGCGATGAGGAGGGCAGGCTCCTGCCCCTGACACTCAGGTGCTCAACTATCCTCCGCTCCTAGATGCATTCTTTCCTTCCCTACCATGCCCCTGACCACCCCTCCTTCCTCCTCTTGGAACCCTCTCTTCTCAGAGCCCCCCCCCCGTCCCCCCGCATATATGTCAGCACCCCACATACTTGGTATGTTCCAGGGAGGCCACATCATTCAGGTTGAAGACAATGATGATGGCTGGAAGAGGGGCAGAGGCAGTCCCAGGTTGACAGGGAGACACGCCTGGCTTACCGCCCCCCCTTCTGCTCTAGGTCAGAGGCAGCCACCCACCCCACTTCACCCAGGCCCTCACCTTGAGCCCCTCGGTAGTAGGTTGATGCAATGCATTTGAATCTCTCCTGTCCAGCGGTATCCCAGCTAAGAGGGAGGAGCGGTGACATAGAGGGATGGGGGTAGGGGGTAGGGCGAGTGTAAGTGCCAGAGGAAGGAATGGCTGGAAGAGGGAGAGAGGAAGGAGCACTTACAGCTGTAGACTGAAGGGGATGCCCAACACCTCAAATCGTTCCATCTCAAAGTCCACTCCAATGGTGGCCTTGTAGTTCTTATCAAAGGTGTCTTTGCAGAACCTGAGGGGGCACCAGATGCTCTGGCCCTTAGCCCAGCTCATCTGGCTAGCCTTGGCCCTCCCCTGCCCAGCCCAACCCAGTTCAGCACCAGCACCCTCTTACCTGTTAATGAGACAAGTCTTCCCCACCGATAGGTCCCCCACCACAATGACCTTGGAGATCTTAAACCTGCTGGACACAAGGGGAGGTGAGAGGCGTGGGCAGTAGTTCTTTCACCCTAAGGAGTCCCAGTGCAACCGAAGAGGTTTACCAGGGTAGCCACACCCAGGCCATTGCCAGGCACCAGCAGACAGACGCCAGGCCTCCTAGGCAGCTTTCTGGACAGATGTGCTGGCTAAGAGTGTTTTGTGCTTTAGTATAAAAAAGACATATACTTGAATCCCAGCTCTCACATTTGCTAGCTGCGTACCTTAGGACAAATTACTTAATCTCTCAGTTTCAACATTTAAGTGGAGATTTAGAATATATTTCCTTTGGGTAGTGAACAGATGGTATGATACACGGATCTTGTAACATAGAAACCCACACCTAAAACCTTATGTCCATGTTGACTAATATCACCCCAATGAGTTTGATAAAATTTAAAAAAAGAACATATTTTATTGGATTGTTGTTAAAATGAGATAAATGTTCTATATTCTGAATCATGCCTCCACCTCCCCCACACACACCACACGCATACATTTTAATCAGGGTACATCTCTGAAATCAGGGTACATTTTTATTTATTTATTTATTTTTTAAAATATATTTTATTGATTTTTCACAGAGAGGAAGAGAGAGGGATAGAGAGTTAGAAACATCGATGAGAGGGAATCATCGACCAGCTACCTCTTGCACACCCCCTACTGGGAATGTGCCCGCAACCAAGGTACATGCCCTCAACCGGAATCGAACCCGGGACCTTTCAATCCACAGGCCGACACTCTATCCACTGAGCCAAACCGGTCCTGGCCAGGATACATCTTTAAAAATGATGGTGTTTTTCATTTAATAAAAGTAACAGTATCCAGCTGAAACCGGTTTGGCTCAGTGGATAGAGTGTCGGCCTGCGGACTGAAAGGTCCCAGATTCGATTACGGTCAGGGACATGTGCGTTGGTTGCAGGCATGTCTCTGGTGGGGGGGGAGGGTGCAGGAGGCAGCTGATCGATGTTTCCCTCTCATCGATGTTTCTAACTCTTTCTCCCTCTCCCTTCCTCACTGTAAAAAAAAATCAATAAAACATATTATTTTTAAAAAAAAGTAACAGTATTTAACACACTTCCTGGCACACAGTCACTACTACATTAATAGTGGCAATTATTTCCCTGGCCGGTTTGGTTCAGTGGGTAACATGCCGGCCTGAGCCCGGGTTGGGGTTGTGGGCTCAATCCCCAGGGAGGGGGTGCGAGGTGCAGGGGGCTGCCAATCGGTGATTCTCTCTTATCATTGATGTTTCTAGCTCCGTCTCTTCCTTTTTCTCCAAAATCAGTAAGAAGATATTTTTTAAAAAATAGTGGCAACTGCTGTTATTCCCTTTTATTCCCACATGTGGACTCATAGGTGTAGGCACAGCCCCCGCCTTGGACCTGGGGCTCAGATGGGTGGTTTGTGGAAGGTGAACTGAGGACCACCCCCTTCTCTGTGTCAGAATTGAACCGCCACCTTTCCGGCCAACAGTCCTGCTGGAAATGAAGGGAATAACCAACCATAGAGCTGGTAGAGCGAGCCAATGGAGCCCCATTGCTTTGACTACAAAGTGTCCTGGGACTTGCTGTCTTTATTTTGGGGTCTCTCTCCAACTCACCCCACGGTGCCGGTCCGGTGCTCCTGGCAGGCGCAGGTGACCCGGGGGTGGAAGTCTCTGCGCGCGTGCAGAGCGGCCTCCTTCCTCAGGTACTGCGGGGAGGGAGGAGGAGGAGGCTCACCCCGTCCTGGCCCCCGGCCCGCGGCCTCCCGCCCGCGGCTGGGGTGGGGCGGGGACCACCCAGGAGCGCGGGCCCGGCTGGGCGGCGGGGCCGGGCCCCAGGGCTGGGCGGCGGGGCTGGGCCAGCACTAACGGGCCCGGCCGCTCCTCCCGCCCACACGCCGCGCAGCGATGCCCGCCGGGGCCGGCGCCTACCTGGGGCAGCTCCGCCAGGACGCGGTCCCTCCGCACGGGCGCCAGAAGGTTCATCCTGCCTGCGGCCAGCGGGGGCGCCCCGGGAAGGCGCGGAGGCCTGGTCCGCCCCGGCGGCCCGGGCCCGGGGAGACCCGACGATCACCCGCGACCGCGGAGTCCCGACGATGACTCGGGGCCACGGGGAGCCTGCGGGAGCCGCCCGCGGCCTCGGGGACGCCCCGGGCGCTGCGGGCCACAGGGACCGGTCGGTCGCCCGGGGCTGCGGCGAGCCCACGATCACCCGGGCCCGGGGCGTCCCGAAGACCACTCGGGGGCGGGGAGACCCCTCGGCCGCCGCCAGAGGGGGGCGGGGAGTCCCGTCCGGGGGATCCCGGGCCCGCGCAGACCCTACGATCACCCGGGGCCGGATACTCCCCACGATCACCCGAGGCCGCGGAGACCCGACGACAGCTCGGGGCGGAGGCAGCCCCACCATAACCGAGCAGCCCGGGGGCTGGGGCGGCCTCACCGCCTGGGGTCAGGGCGGGCAGGGACCGCGAGGCGAAGTCCGAGAGCGGCGGGAGCGGGGGCGGGGGGCCCGGTCCGCCGCCGCAGGGCCCCACGTCCCACGCCGCCTCCCCCCTCCGCCGGCTCTGTAACCCGATCCCCGGAAATTCTTGGAGAAGGGCCGCCCCCAGCCCCTCTCCCGCCGCTCCGGCCTCGCACCACGCCCGGGGCTCCCCATCCTCTCCTCCTGGCGGCACTGCCCTGGCTCAGGCAGCCCTGCCAGACGCCCCATCGGGGCCCCAGGACGCCCCCACACATGCTGGAACCTGCCCAGATAGGGACCCCCGGCCTAGGTGTCTCTGCCCGGCACCTGTGTGAGGGCTGCGCCGCCCCGGGGCCCCTTACCCAGCCGAACCTGTGATGGGGGATCGGTGGCTGCTGCGCAGCATCTGGCGGCGCCGGGAGGAGGGGTGAGGGGGAGCGAAGGGGCCCAAGGAGAGGCGGTGCTTCCCTCCTCGACTGCAGGCCCGGGACGTGACTCATAGAGTCTGCCCCCGCTCGCCCTTCAGCCCTGGGAGGGGAGCGGGGGGAGCGTACCAGGGGTGTCAGAGGCGGAGCTGGGTGCCCACCTTGGGGAGAGAGACGTCCGAGGTGAGGCGTCTTTTCCTCGAAGGCCGCGGTGTAGACTGAGGGGTGCGGAGGCTGAAGACCAAGCCGCCAGCCTTGGAGGAGAAAGGAGGGCTAGATGGGCCGGGAACTCCGCCCTTTGGGGAGGTCACTGCTCCGGAACACGAGGACTCCCCTCTGGTAGGGGCGTTCTTCATGTCGATCCCCTTTGGAATCGTCCCATTTTGCAGTTGTGGGAGACAGAACCGGGTAACGCACAGCAGATCTCACTGTCAGCGGGGAAGTCAGGTTCCCAGAGACCAGAGAGACAACTGAAAGGGAGAGGTGAAGGCAGGAGGACAGCGACCCTCAGAGAAGCAAGCTGGAGCTTTACTAAACTTTGCTCTGTGTCCTGGAATTGAATTTGAGGATGCAACCATGGGCACGAAAGGGAAGACTGCTTAAAGGGAAGGAATTGTGAACGGGATTATTCCCAAGAAGAATTAGCGAAAGCTGAAGCCTGTGCGCTGGGTGTTTGGAATATTGCTGGAATTTCTCCAAGAGTCTTGTCAGGAAAACACATGAACCCACACTGTCATGGGTAAAGAGGGGAGATGTTGCCACCTTCTACCTACTCTGGGTCTTTTCTCCTCCCCTCTGCGTGACTCGATTTTTATTTTTATTTTTGCCGCCAAATCACCATTATTGATAAGCTACGTATCCTCTCGGGACTTCAATTTACACAAATGTTGTTTGAGGGAGTTGGGCCTGGCAAATCCTGCTCTAAACGTTCTAGAACTTTGCTTCACTCTCCCTGAGCTAATCTAATTATATGCATTACAGTTTGCAGTGCTACTGTATCCTGGAACTTGCAATCCTTTTCCCTGAAGATGGGAAGCGCTCAGGGCCAGACTGTCCGCTGCACCATCCAACCGCCACAGCAGATAAATAAACTACAACTCCCAAGAAGCTTAGGTCCTACGAGGGGCGGGGTGGCGCATGCTTAGTCCCTCTTGAGGAAATTAAACCTAACTACTATTCCCAGAGGGCGCCGCGCTACAGATCATCCAATCAGCTTTAAGTAGAAAGCATCGCGAGGTTTCGGTGATACTTAGCTCTATAAGCCCGTGAGAATAAGTCTCGTAAACCCTTTTCACGAAGATGGCGCCGAAAGCGAAGAAGGAAGGTGTGTGGTGGGGTTGGGGAGGAACAGTACTGGCTGGCCTGGGGTCCCCGCAGGGTGAACAAACTGAAAGGACGGTGGTTGTGCTAAGACTTGGGGTGTCAGCTCTGGAGCTGCTCTTCCCGTTTCGTTCCGGCCACGCTACGGCGCGCGTGGGCCCAGCCACATGGGCTGGGCTCCAGCCGAAGGGGGTTGGGGAGGGAGCCGACAGCCACAGTGGGGACTACACGCACCCACAGGCCGCCACTCCATGTCTCCAGACCTGTAAGGAATCAGTGCTCTCAACTTTCCTGACTTTACTTTTTTTTTACTCTTATTACATACGGCTCTATACCCTCCCGGGATGGCTGTGAGATGTTCTACGTAAAACTCCTAGCACGCGTTCCATGGAGTTACTCCAAGTTTGCCCCAATAACTGTGCATATGATGGAAAAACTTTTAAGCTGAGACTTGTGATGTCTTCAAAGGAACCACTGATGCACATGTCGTCTGGCGCGCCCGCTACCGTCCTTTAGGCCGGAAGTGATCCGATTTCTGAATCCCTCATTCTCTTTTCTCAGCCCCTGCCCCTCCCAAAGCCGAAGCCAAAGCAAAGGCTTTGAAGGCAAAGAAAGCAGTGTTGAAAGGCGTCCACAGCCACAAAAAAAAGAAGATCCGCACGTCACCCACCTTCCGACGGCCAAAGACACTAAGGCTCCGGAGGCAGCCTAAATATCCTCGGAAGAGCGCACCCAGGAGAAACAAGTCAGTATTGCCCCTCCCCCCCACCCCCATTAGAAGAGAAAGTTTATTTAGAAAGTTACATAGGTAAAAGAAATGGACTAGCTGGGCAGTGTAAGCTCAGGGAACAACTTGGAGGCAGAGACAGAAAGGCCCTTGGAGCTTCGGGGAGAGAGAAAGGCAAAGGTAATGCACCTGGGGAGCAGGGGAAGGGGAGGGCACTGGCTATCCTCTTGAAAAGATATTCGGATATGAAGTTGACCAAACTTAGAACATGGCTTCTTCAAAACATGTTGAGGTACTCGTTGATGGGGTTGTGGGGAGATTACTGCCTTAAAGAACAAGAAGAGACTTTTTAATCAGCTTAACAATAACCCACAACCTTCGGACCAACTAAGAAGAGACTTTTTATATCATTGGCAGGAATTAGTTGTTAGGTTCATAATCACTTTATATGCTAGAGGTTTAAAGTCCACTTTCTTGCAAATATAGAATAGGATTTGCATTGTTTTGGAGTTCCAGATTTAATTCATCCCTCATAGCACCTATTGCTGTATAGGGAAGAGTCCTTGAGGATGAGGATGTGTGATGATTCTAGGTTTATAGCGAGGTTCATTCATTTGTATTGGACCACGAGGGCCTGCAGCAATGTGTGGAAACACCTTTTCATTCACTCAAATGTTGACACTCAGGTAATGGTTGAGGAGTGCTGCTGTTAATAACTGACCTTAGGAACCACCAATTAGAGTAGAACCAAGGTGGTAGAAGCTGATGGGTTTGTGCTCCTCTCTCTGCTTCCAGAGAAAAAGGCAGGGGAGTGGTTTGTGTCCAGCTGTGGAGGAAACCACTTGACAGGCTTTTTACCCCCATTTGGACCTAGAATTTAGGATAATTTCAAAATGGGATAGTAGTGTCCAAGTGAACAGCACCTTGCTTATCTGAATGTCAGGGGGGAAACTGCTGTAAGGGTTGTAATTTAACCTGAGCTGTACATTTTTTTTTTTAAGTTACTCTCAAAAATGGATGGCCCTCAAGCCAGTTTTCATCAACCAACATGGGTAGAAATGGCCTGGCCTCCCCAGCCTCGTAGTGAAGGACCAACATTCTTTGGAATTCTAACCCGAGTTTCAAGATGCTGTATTCTAGCTTTGTGCTTTTTGGTTTTAACTTCTCAGGTCTTAAATTTTATCCAGGAATCTCGAGGTCAAATAAAGAATGAAGGGCTTTGGGGTGATTTAATCTCTTAAAGGATGAAAGCCCTCAGGTAAAAGTGCTCCTGGTTTTGCTCTCAGGCGGAGGCTCCAGGTCTAGGTTTCAGGGTGCAGATGATGATAATGTGCAGCGACCAAAGTCTGACAGAAATGATTGCTACTCATCATCTGATGCACCTGGGCTCCAAATGCGGGCTCATTCTTTCTTAAATTGGGCTCAGGCCAGGTGACCCCATTTTCCCTCCCCCAGGCTTGACCACTATGCCATCATCAAGTTCCCCCTGACTACCGAGTCAGCCATGAAGAAGATAGAAGACAATAATACACTTGTGTTCATTGTGGATGTCAAGGCCAACAAGCACCAGATCAAACAGGCTGTGAAGAAGCTCTATGACATTGATGTGGCCAAGGTCAACACCCTGATCAGGTGAGTGGGGCTCCATGGGCTGGGGCTTCAGTCAGAAGCCAAGGAAATCTGAACAGCATGAAATTCCTTGATGCTGCTTTTGGGGTTAGGGTTGAGCAGCCCCTCCTGTAATTATGTTCCTTTGTATGGAGTATGGACTTTGAGGAATCAATAGCTTGTCCTGCCTATAGGACTTGATTTATGGGGTTGACACTCATTTTCCTGATTCCTGCCTCTAGACAGGCCCTAGAGTAAGAGAAAATTTATGTCAGCTTATCTGGATCTTAATGTCCAATGGTGTTTCCCATAAAAGGGAATTAGCTTTGTTTGTAGCCTAGTGGTTTCCCTCGCTTCCTCTGTGCAGATGACAGATAAACCACTCCTGGCAAAAGAATGACATGAACAAAGGGACTCCTGGTGCCCTGGAAGATGGGTGGAGGGTATAGGGCCAGTGAGGACAGCAGGGACTAAGGCTGTCCTTTCCCCCCTAGGCCTGATGGCGAGAAGAAGGCATATGTTCGACTGGCTCCTGACTATGATGCTTTGGATGTTGCCAACAAAGTAAGCTTCCTTTGCCACAAAACTCTCAACACCCCACCCCCCTGGGTGCAAATGATGTGTCTTGTTAGCGACCAAAGCCTGACTTTTGCTGATTAGTCTTAACTGACTGACTGCACCCTTCTCCTTAATAGGTCCTACCCTATGCCCACATTTTGTTTCTTAATCATGACATTCTAGCTTAATCTTCACATTTCAACTTCCAGTAACAAAACTCCTTTTTGTTTTTCAGATTGGAATCATCTAAACTGAGTCCAGCTGCCTAATTCTAAATATAAAAATTTTACACTGTATTGTTTATGTTGATTTCTGTTTGGGCTGGGCGAACACTAAATAGAGTTTGAGCAAGACTTGGCCTCTTTACCCTGTTGAAACACTTAGGACTTCACCATATTTGTTATAACCTTGACGGCTGTAGCTCAGCTAGCAGATATTTGCTCAACTAGAACTTCCCTGTGTCATAGGAGTAAGCAAACAACAAGAAGTTTTATAAGAACCCCTTCCTTTATCCTTGGAAGAAGTTTTTGAATGAAACCAGTATCCAGAGTTTTCATCAGCATCCACTTCAGGGCAATATGGGTCGGCTGGCTTTTGGGTAAACTGTCCCCACACCCATCTACCGTGTCCAACCGGTCTGTCTGCTTCCCTCACCCCTTGCCCAAGAAAGGACAAGGACTTCAGAGAAGTGCTTTCATTAGTGTTTTCAATAGTGGGCGCAAACTTGAAAGGTGGAGAGGCTGGATGTCCCAGGTTTGGGGCTCATCTCAGTTTATACATGAGGCTGTTCTTGGCTATTTGCTGTCCTTGCCTCAAGTCCCAAGCTCTGCCTCTCACTCTGTCAAGAACTTGTCTTTGTGTTGTGGGCTGGGCAGACGTTCAGGGCAGAAGTCCGAGCGGAGGAGGCGGGAAAAGTAGATGAGGATCATGATGTCCAGCATGATCAGGATACCCAGCAGGAAGGTGCCCAGGCTCCTCTGACCCACATATTGCAGGAAGAAGTAGGTGAGGTAGGCCTGAGGGGCCAGGCGGAAGAGGAAGTACATGACCAAGTTGACATACTTATTGATCTTGTAGAAGAGGAGATGCTGGGCATTGTTGATCTTCATCATCATGCGAATGGTGAGGAAGATATTGCTGACTTCTACCAGCAGTGTCAGGACACCCCCACCTACAAAGCGGCCCAGAAAGATGCCAGATATGAAGGCACCCATGGCCTAGAAGGCAAAGAGAACAAGTTAGGAAATACATGTCAAGACTTCAGCCATCTGAGGACTGGAAAGTCTTCCCCTATTTGCTTCTGATATACTTTACAGTGAATTTAACATGATTAAGTTTTGGTCACTAGTTTATAGTGTTTGAGGTACTAGATGAAGTTAAGGTTTGCTGGCTTCATAGTGATCCAAGGACACGGATTAGCATCCCAACATGGGAAGATGAGGGACACGGTGGGAATGGAGTTGACGGGCAGGTCTGAGACTGAAGTTGCTAGCGCCAGGGCTATGCCACACACCCCTGTTTCTCACCATGACATGATGGACCAGGTATTCCCAAGAAGCTCGAGCCTGGCCACTGACCACGATGTCCACCGTGTCATGAATGAAATAACCTAGCAGAGGGATGGGGGGAAGGTCATGAAGGGGATTATAAAAAGCTCCCTGTTCCCCCACCTAGTGAAATGTTTGCTGGGTAAGGCTTACCTGCGGAGAAGCAAACGAGCAGATAGCCAGATAGCGACCAAGCCATCTCGATCTCTACCAGCATCTCGGGGGTTTGCCATACACTGAAAGGGAGGGGAAGAAGGCAGGTGCTCATCTCCCCATTCCCAAGGACCTTCAACTTGACAGTCCCGGAGGAGTCCGGGCTCGCTTCTATTAACTGGGGAGCAAGGAGGGGCTTGGCTGAAACCCAGGTGTCTCCCCTTTCCCAGGTGACATCCCCTTCCCCTGGGGCCGCTGCGGCTCCGGATTGGACAGCTTTCCAGACAGGGGATCATGTGAGACTGCGTGGCCTCAGCCCGCCGGTGAAGGATGGGGAAAGTAACGCGGGATCCCCTAGTCACCTTCACTCCCCCCTCGCGGCCCTCCACTCACCACAGCAGAGCCCAGATCCCCGACACGATGGAGTGGGCGAAGGAGACCAGCAGGTTGTGCCAGCGCCAAGTGCGCAGGGGGTCGGCGCGCACGTGCGCGGGCAGGGGCAGGCGGCAGAGCGCGCGCCGGAGCGCCCGGAAGGTCAGCGTGGCGCCCAGGAGCAGCAGCAGGGCGGGGTGCAGCAGTGGGAGCATGCTGGCCCTCCCCGGCGTCGGTCTGTCCGCCCTCTAGGCGGCCTCCTCGGGCTGTTGGGGAACGGGCTCCCTCTCGGGCCAGTCCTCCCCGGCGCCTCTCCTGCCGGCCGGCAGCCTCACAGTTGTTCTCGGAGCCCTCTAGGCCCCTCCGCTCCTCCCGTCCCCTCCCCGCGGGCCCTGCCTCCGCCCCTAACCGCCCGCGCCCCCGCCCCGCCCCGCCCGCCTGCCCCCGCCCCTCCGGCGCCTTTCCGGAGCGGAGGGCGCGAGCCCCTGTTCCCGGAGGGCCTACCGCGCCCCGCCTCCCTCCCGCCGACTTGGGGGGCCGTCCCGAGGCGCCGCCGCCGCCGAAGCACCCCTCGCTGGCGCCTCCCGACCGCCGGCTCGCTCGCCTGGCCTCATTCACCCGCCCCCCGCTTTCCTCGGGGCCACCGGCTCCCCCGCTCGGGCGGGTATTGCAACAACTCTCCCCGCCCTCAACTCCTTTCTTGGCAGAGCTGGCACGATCCGCCGCACACACCCACGACTTTTAAACCCGGGTCCTGGGTCCGGGTCCGAGCCCCGCCCCGCCCCGCCTCGGACCGTGATCTCTGCCCTGTCCCTGTTCTTTCCCTGGATCCCTGGCTTCTGGCTGGAGACGGATGTGTTTACCTGCCTCCACAGCGCCCCCGCGCACGGAGTCGGTGCCTAGAAACTATGGACTAACCCATCGCCACCCCCCCCCCTCCCCGCCCGCTTCGGGGCGCCTGGGGCCCGGCGGCTGTGACAAACCTCCTTCCGACAGCCCCGGCCCCCTGGAGGCCGCGGCGGGGCAGGCGGCCCATTTGCCCAGGCGGCTGGGGTGACCCTTACTCTTCAGGCCAGCGGCCGGGAGCGGTTGCAGTTTGTGGCCACTAGATGTCAGCCTGTACTCACCGTGGCGTGGGATCCAGTCCCCCATTTCTGCTCCCCCTCCCCCCGCAAGAAATGAGGTTGTTGCTTTTGGGGGAGGGGGAGCCAGCCAGGACTCTGGCGGACGGAGCTGCAGCTAAGAGCCGGGTCTGGAGTAGGGGTTGAGGGTGAGAAAAGGGAAGGGGGATAGTGGAGGAAAGGAAAGTAGTAGTTGGGGACTAGGGAAAAGGAGCGGCGGGAGGGCCCAAAAGCCAGAAACCAGAGGCGCCAGAGACCCAGGGGCTGAGAGGTTCGGGTGTTTGCTTTGCCTCCCCTGATGGCTCCAAGGTTACACATTAAACCCGGTGGGGCTCCTGGGTCAACCAAGGCCCGATCGGTTTCTAGGTGAGAGCACGAGTGTCCCAGGTGAGCGGCTTTCTTTCCCCCTTTGCTCACAGAGCAGCTTTGTCCGGCAGCCAACACCGGTCTGGGTCCGCGAGAGGCCCCCCCGGGGCCCTCAGAGTGGTCATTCCACGCGGGCAGGCTCGGACACCTTTCGAGGGGTGAGATGGCAGCAGGAGGTACACACCCCATGACTCACATTCCTCACCCACTCGGAAACAGGGACGCCATCCCTTCGCTAATCACCATCCTCTGGCTCCTTAACTGAGCTGGTTATTGACTCATGAAGAGCAGGAGGTGCCCGGGAGACACCTGGAATTAAACTGATTTCTGGTCAAGACCCTAAACGATCGTACTAACCTCTGAGCAGAAGCCTAGAACCCATATAGGCCAAACGGCTGTCTCTCCTCTTCTCCCTGAGGCTGTTACTAGTGAGATGGTGGTCCACCTCCCTCCCATCTTCCCTCAAGGAGGCTCTCCCCGGCCGAGTGTTGGCGGCAGGGTTCCCTGCGGCAGCATTGTGTGTGTGACGCGGGGGGCTCCGGTGCTGACGACCGCGGGGTTCACTGGCCTGGAAACCGCGTCACAGCCCCCGCAGATGAGTCAACGTGCACCGGCCGGGCTTTCCCTCGTCCCTCCCTAGGCAAACAAGAAACGGCCGGGCCCGGTAGACCGAGAGCGCCGGTTCAGGTTTTGGTATTGTGTATCGTTTGCATAGCAAGGAGAATCTGCTTTCTTCCGAAAACAGTCACTCGTGGGCAAACAGGGGGCAGAGAGAGGTCAGGCCTCGCTTCCCTTCCCCACTCGGCCTGCGAAGAGCACCTCTCCCGTCTTCGGAAGCTTTGCGAGGACCGGACGCGATCACGAGGGTGGGAGGGTTCGGGGCGCCAAAAAATGGCCTATCGCCCTCTCCTTCCTCGGGCCCCAAGAAAGCAACCCTGCAGACCCAGGCTGCAGGGGAGGCACCTGGCAGGACCAACAAGTAGCTCCACTTGCTCCCGGCAATTAGCTGGCGGAGCGGGGGGCGTGGCTCCGGGGTTGGGGCGTGGCTCCGGAGGGGCGGGCCCGCGCATGCGCCGCGTCCGAGTGTAGGGGGTCCCGGAAATGTGACTGAGACATGAGATGGAGAAGTACGAGCGGATCCGCGTGGTGGGAAGAGGTGCCTTCGGGTGAGCCGGGGCTCGGGGGAGGAAAGCACTCAGGGAGAAGGGAACACAAACCCCAACTCCGCCCGCGAAATCGCCGCCCGGCCAGCCCCGCCCCGAGGCGGGAGGGCCACTCCGGGAAGCCCCGCCCAGCTTCCGGCCCCGGGCCCGGCTGGCGGACGCGGCTCCGGAGGAGGCCACGCCCCCGGGAGCGTGTGCGCCCACGCAGGGCGCTGGTCTCCGATGCCGGACTTGATTCATTCAACAAATATTGAGCGCCGACCCTGTGTCAGGCTCTCGGCGTTGGATGAGTGTACAGTTAAGAGCAAGACAGGTGTGGTTTTTTCTCCCTATAGGAAAAATGTATCATAAACAAGACATTGCAGGGAAGTACTTACTTGGGGTAGTCAGGGAAAGATCTCTGAGAGGTGAAGTTTCAAGCCAAGGCGGGAGGAATGCGGGACAGTCTGAAGGTGAAGGCAGCGCTTTCCAGGTGGAGGAAGCAGCATAGATGAAGGTCCTCAAGTGGGGAAAATTCAGAGTATTCAGGAACTGAGGAAAAGCATGGTATAGTTGGGAGGTAGTGGGCAAAATAAAGAATGCTATCCATATATATATATATATATATATAAAATGCTAATTTTTTAAAATATATTTTATTGATTTTTTTACAGAGAGGAGGAGAGAGAGAGAGCTAGAAACGTCGATGAGAGAGAAACATCGACCAGTTGCCTCTTGCACACCCCCTACAGGGGATGTGCCCACAACCAAGGTACATGCCCTTGACCGGAATCGAACCCGGCACCTTTCAGTCCGCAGACCGACACTCTATCATTGAGCCAAACCGGTTTCGGCTATAATGCTATTCTTATAAAATATATATATTTGATTTTTAGAGACAGAGGAGAGAGGGAAAAAGAGAAAAACATCCAGTGAGGGCAAAACATCCATCTGTTGCCAAAACCGGTTTGGCTCAGTGGATAAAGCGTCGGTCTGTAGACTGAAAGGTCCCGGGTTTGATTCTGGTCAAGGGCATGTACATTGGTTTCAGGCACATCCCCGGTAGGCAGTGTGCAGGAGGCAGCTGGTCGATGTTTCTAGCTCTCTATCCCTCTTCCTTCCTCTCTGTGGAAAATCAATAAAATATATATCTTTTTAAAAATCCATCTGTTGCCTCCTGGTTCCAGACTCCTGCACAGCCCTCTTGGGGATCAACTGCAACCTGGGCATGTGCCCCGATTGGGAATGAAACCGTGACCTCCTGGTTCATAGGTCCACACTCAGACACTGAGCCATGCCAGCTGGGCTGCATTTTCTTTTTTTTTTTTTTTTAAATATATATTTTATATTTTATTGTTTGTTTTTTTTTATAGAGAGGAAGGAATAGAGTTAGAAACATCAATGACAGAGAAACATCGCTCAGCTGCCTCCTACTCACCTAGTCAGTATGTGCCTGCAACCAAGGTACATGCCCTCGACCGGAATCGAACCTGAGACCCTTCAGCCAATGCTCTATCCACTGAGCCAAACCAGTTAGGGCTGCATTTTCTTATTTGGTCACCTTGACAACACTGAGGTCAATTCTGTTTTCCAGATGATGATGTTACATAATCCAAGGCCAGGTACTTAGTAAGAGGAGCTAGGATTTGAATCCAGGCAATTGACTTCAGAGTCTGGAAACAAAGAGATGAAGGCTAATTTGGCCTCATTGTGCCTGTGGTGAAACTGAGTTTCAAATAAGGTCTCACGGAGTTTGTGTTAGTCTTCCCCATTCCTAAAGTCCGTGTTCTGTGCAGGGAGATGACCTCTTAGTATGCATGCCATTCCCCTCTCAAATCCAGTTACTGTCCAGTCACCAGGTCTTTTTTTTTTTTTTTTAATATATTTTATTGATTTTGTACAGAGAGGAAGGGAGAGAGATAGAGAGTCAGAAACATCGATGAGAGAGAGTCATCAATCAGCTGCCTCTTGCACACCCCCCACTGGGGACTTGCCCGCAACCAAGGTACATGCCCTTGACCGGAATCGAACCTGGGACCCTTCAGTCCCCAAGCCGATGCTCTATCCATTGAGCCAAACCGGTCCCGGCAAGTCACCAGGTCTTCCCAGCTTGATGTGTGGCTGGAGGCTGAGCCGGTGCCCACTGCTGTGCTCCGCGTCCTTAGGATTGTGCACCTGTGCCTGCGCAAGGCGGACCAGAAGCTGGTGATCATCAAGCAGATCCCGGTGGAGCAGATGACCAAGGAAGAGCGGCAGGCGGCCCAAAATGAGTGTCAGGTCCTCAAGCTGCTCAACCACCCCAATGTCATTGAGTACTACGAGAACTTCCTGGAGGACAAGGCCCTCATGATCGCCATGGAATACGCACCAGGTGGGCCCGATTGCTTTCCCTGGCCCGGCTTCAAGGGCCTCTCACCTCTGAGACAGACAGACACGGAGTAGCCAGCGTCCCTCCTTGGAATGAGCTAGGCTGAGGGTCAGAGGTTTAGAATTCAGATCCAAGTAGTGCGATGGCGGGAGGCACTCGCCCTGTCCAGGTGTTTAGTTACATAAAAGGAAAATCTCGGGCTCAGGAAAGACTGAATCTTGACCCAACCCTTGCTGCCGCAGGCGGCACCCTGGCCGAGTTCATCCAGAAGCGCTGTAACTCCCTGCTGGAGGAGGAGACCATCCTGCACTTCTTCGTGCAGATCCTGCTGGCCCTGCACCACGTGCACACCCACCTCATCCTGCACCGCGACCTCAAGACCCAGAACATCCTTCTTGACAAGCACCGCATGGTCGTCAAGATCGGCGACTTTGGCATCTCCAAGATCCTCAGCAGCAAGAGCAAGGCCTACACGGTGCCTGGGCACGGAAGGGGATCTCAAGGGCGCTGGAGGTTTTGAGGGCCAAGGCCGACTCTGCAGCCCTAGGCTCCGCCCCCACCCAAGGCCTTGGCCCCTTAGCTCCTGCCTGGGTGGCCCTGCAGGAGGAAGCACTTGGGCCTGCTTGCGGGGGAAGCAGTCTCCACGTGGCCCTTGGTCTTCCCTCCCTGGGCTGCAATGGTAGCTTCCCTCCTGCAGGTGGTGGGGACGCCTTGCTACATTTCCCCTGAGCTGTGCGAGGGCAAGCCCTACAACCAGAAGAGCGACATCTGGGCCCTGGGCTGCGTCCTCTATGAGCTGGCCAGCCTCAAGAGGGCCTTTGAGGCTGCGGTGAGTAACCACCCCTAAGGGGACAACTGGAAAATCTCTGTCTCCCTCCCTCTAAAAATCCCTGTCTCCACCTGCTTGCGTGATTCTTCTCTGTGGCTGAGTCAGGTCTCCCTGTACAGACTGGAGGATTAGCCCACGGCAGGGCTGTGGCTGCCCTCAGACCGTGAATTCCCCAGGGGAGGGCTTGGTTCTCTCCTTTAAACGGAGGGCTCCTGCGGGCAGAGTTCCCCCATCAGATCGGGGATCCTCTTGAAGGCAAAACTTACATTTTCCCAACAGCCTGGGGTTTCGGAGGACATAGCTGCAGCTCCCCTATCAGAGGTTCTTTTTTTTTTTTCTTTTTTTCCCAATATATTCTTATTGATTTTTCTTACAGAGAGGAAGGGAGAGAGATAGAGAGCTAGAAACGTCGATGAGAGAGAAACATCGATCAGCTGCCTCTTGCAAACCCCCTACTGGGGATGTGCCCGCAAACCAAGGTACATGACCTTGCCCGGAACCGAACCTGGGACCTTTCAGTCCAAAGGCCAATGCTCTATCCACTGAGCTCTATCCACCGGGCCCCCCGCAGCCCCAGGCAGCTTCTGCTATCAGAGGTTCTTGAAAGCAGGGTTTGGGTCCCCTGTCATTTTGGGAGTCCCCTCACCAGACTGAAGTCTCCTGAGCACAAGGCTGTGACCGCCCATCAGATGAGGGCCTGGGCTGAAACCACCTAAGAGCCTGACCTGAGGCTCTGGCCAAAACTTGGTGCCTTGCCTAAACCGATTTGGCTCAGTAGATAGAGCGTCAGCCTGTGGACTGAGGGTCCCGGATTCAATTCCGTCAGGGGCATGTACCTTGGTTGTGGGCACATCACCAGTGGGGGGCATGCAAGAGGCAGCTGATCGATGACTCACTCTCTCATCGATGTTTCTAACTCTCTCCCTTCCTTTCTGTAAAAAAAAAATCAATAAAATATATTAAAACAAAACAAAAAGAAAACAAACTTGGTGCCTCCGCAGAACCTGCCGGCGCTGGTGCTGAAGATCATGAGCGGCACCTTTGCGCCCATCTCGGACCGGTACAGCCCCGAGCTGCGCCAGCTGGTCCTGAGTCTGCTCAGCCTGGAGCCAGCACAGAGGCCGCCGCTCAGCCACATCATGGCGCAGCCCCTCTGCGTGCGCGCCCTCCTCAACCTCCACACCGACCTGGGCAGCGTCCGGATGCGGAGGCCTGTGCGGAGAGCTGGGAGGGGGCCCTGGGCAGTGGGGGCACCTGGTGGGAGCTCAGTAAGGCGGAGACATCCTCAGGGCAAATCGTCCCTGTGGGGGATACCAAGGAGGGTCAGGCCGTGTGCTGAGGGGCGGTCCGTCTGTCCCACAGGGCAGAGAAGTCCCTGGCCACCGGGCCCCCCGCAGCCCCAGGCAGCTCCGGGAGCAGGACCACCAGTGCCCGCTGCAGGGGTAAGTCCAGCCGACCTTCCGGGCCCCGTAGACACCACGCCCTTCCCACCAGTTTCATAGACCTCATGGCCGTCCCCACAGGCGTCCCCCGGGGACCCGCTCGGCCAGCCATCCCGCCGCCTCTGTCCTCCGTGTACGCCTGGGGCGGAGGGCTCAGCGCTCCTCTGCGGCTGCCGATGCTCAACACGGAGGTGGTCCAGGTGGCCGCCGGGCGCACCCAGAAGGCGGGGGTCACCCGCTCCGGGCGCCTCATCCTGTGGGAGGTGAGCAGGGTGGGGGGAGGCCTGACGGGGCAGGGCGTGCCTTCAGGAGCGGGTGCTCAGGTCCTCCCCACGCCATCTGCTCCCCAGGCCCCGCCCCTCGGCGGCGGAGGGGGCACCCTCCTCCCCGGGGCCGTGGAGCAGCAGCAGCCCCAGTTCGTCTCCCGTTTCCTGGAGGGCCAGTCAGGTGTGACCATCAAGCATGTGGCCTGCGGGGACCTCTTCACGGCCTGCCTGACTGGTTAGTGCGAAGAGGAGGGGAGGGGGCCGTGGGCAACGTCTCTCCTTGCCTGTCACTTGCAGAATGCTCACTTAATAATGCTCCTATCGCCAAAACCGGTTTGGCTCAGTGGATAGAGCATCAGCCTGCGGACTGAAAGGTCCCAGGTTCGATTCCGGTCAGGGGCATGTACCTTGGTAGCGGGCACATCCCAAGTATGGGGTGTGCAGGAGGCAACTGATCGATGTCTCTCTCTCTCATGGATGTTTCTAACTCTCTATTCCTCTCTCTTCCTCTCTGTAAAAAATCAATAAAAATATATATTTTTAATAAAAATATATTTTAAAAAATAGTAATGCTCCTATCTACTAGTTATTGAGCACCAGGAGTTGCTCACACAGTCTCTTCTGCCCTTCACGACAGGCCTGGCAAGGTAGTCATAGTGTCCCATTCGACAGATCTGAAAACTAAGGCTCAGAGGCTAAGTCACTTGTCCAGAGTCACACACTTGGGAAAAGAGACCCCTGTCCATCTCTATCCTCCATTTCATTCTTCCAGCCTCGGCCTCCGACTAATATTTGATTGTTTCTCCAACTCCAGGTTGGACTGGTCTATCCGGAAAAACAGCCTAATCTCTCTCCCTTTCCTTTCCTCAACGCCCGCCTCCCAAGACCGAGGCATCATCATGACCTTTGGCAGCGGCAGCAACGGGTGCCTAGGCCACGGCAGCCTCAACGACATCAGCCAGGTGGGTGTCGCATGTGCCTGGGGAGGAGGAAGTTGGGGAGAGAGATGGCAAGGATCCTGAGAGCTGAAACCCAGGGTGGGGGCAGGGGAATCTTCAGCAACCACAGGCCCCGCTGGCTCCCAGGCTGCACCTGTGCTGGGCAGCAGCAGGGGAAGTACAGAAAGACCGGGCTTCCCCGTGGTTGTAGTGCTGGTGACGGTAGCGATGAGTTAAAGAAACCGCCATCTCGTGAGAATATGAAGCCTCCAACTTTGACTCGACGGGGGACGTTGGGTCCAGGCCCTTTGCCCAATTCTCTCTCTCTCTCTCTCTCTAGCCCACCATTGTGGAGGCCCTGCTGGGTTATGAGATGGTGCAGGTGGCCTGTGGGGCCTCTCACGTGCTGGCCCTGTCCACTGAGCGAGAACTGTTTGCCTGGGGCCGCGGAGATGGTGGTAAGCTCTCTCCCCCCAGTGCCAGCCTCTCGCGCCATCTCACAGTAGCCCCCTGCCATGACTTGTGCCCCTCATACCCACCTTCCACCCCAAGGCCCGTTTTCTCCCCCCTCTTTCCTCTCCAATTCCATCCACTTATTCACCCAGCAAATCTTTACTGTACACCCACTATGTGCCCACCCTGTGCTGGGTGCTAAGACAAGAGGAACAAGATATTACTTCCTTCAGGTACTTCTGAGGGATGTTTCATTCACCCAACACTTTTCTTTTTTAAATATATTTTATTGATTTTTTTTTACAGAGAGGAAGGGAGAGGGAGAGAGAGTTAGAAACATAGATGAGAGAGAAACATCGATCAGCTGCCTCTTGCACGCCCCCACCTGGGGATGTGCCCGCAATCAAGGTACATGCCCTTGACCGGAATCGAACCCGGGACCCTTCAGTCCCTTGGCTGACGCTCTATCTACTGAGCCAAACTGGTTTCGCCCAACACTTTTCATTGTGGCTCTCTCCGGGTCAAACACCAGGCTGGGCGCTGAAACTAGAGCTGACGTAGGTGGGATCCTGTCCTCGTGGAGCACTCTGGTGGTGGGGGATGGGATGATACATCATTAAACGAAGACAGACAGCATCAGGGCTCCACCCCAGGTCCAGAGGTGTCGAAACTGAAGGAATGGCCAGGGACTTCATCGAACAGGTCCTTAGAGGAGGAGGAGGATTTTGACCCAAAGAGGGGCTGAGGGTGGGAAGCCTCCACTCACACCATTACCGCCTCTCCAGGGTCCTCAGCTCATCAGCCTGGGGCTGGCATCACCAACCCTAAAGTCCAAACTAGCCCCGTCCTGGTTTCTCCTTGTAGGCCGGCTGGGACTAGGCACCAGGGAGTCCTACAACTGCCCCCAGCAGGTGCCCATGCCCCCGGGACAGGAAGCCCAGCGGGTTGTATGTGGCATTGACTCCTCCATGATCCTCACTGTGCCTGGCCAAGCCCTGGCCTGCGGGAGCAACAGGTAACGAGGTGCCTCGGGATGACTAGACTGCCCCTCCCCACCTTCGGCTGTTAATGCTCCGTCTGTCATCGCCTACTTCCCACCAGGGGTTAGAACTGAGGAGGTCTGGGGGTGTTGTGGGCTCTGTCCCCTGGTACAGCAGCTCCTGCCCAGATAGCTGGGAGGCAGGACAGCCTATTCGAGCCGTCGCCAACCTTTCGGACCTCACGGACCATCCGTGGTCCGCAGACCACGGGGTGCCGGCCGCTGGTCTATACATACTGTGTCCGTTGGGCGTGGCTTCTGGCTCGGCCCTTAGGTTCAACAAGCTGGGCCTGGACCACCTCTCCCTGGGGGAGGAGCCTGCCCCCCACCAGCAAGTGGAGGAGGTGCTGAGCTTCGCACCACTGTGCTCTGCACCCCTGGACCAGGAGACGCTGCTGAGTGTGGACCTCGGTACTGCCCATTCCGCTGCAGTGACAGGTGAGGAGGACCTGGGCGAGGCGGCAGGAAGGGGACTCTCCGGCCTCTTTGGGACCTCAGTGGAGTCACCCCTTGTCTTCCTTTCCTCCTTTCCAGCCTCTGGTGACTGCTACACTTTCGGCAGCAATCAGCACGGTCAACTGGGCACCAGTGCTCGCCGAGGCAGCCGGGCACCTTGTCAAGTGCAAGGCCTGCAGGGCATCAGGATAGCAATGGTGGCCTGTGGGGACGCCTTCACGGTGGCCATCGGGGCAGGTGATTAGTGGGCACGATGGGGGCAGAAATGGGCATGGACAGGCCCATGGGCAATGGGGGGTTATCATGCTCAGATCTGCTGAACTTAGCAACCTCATTGGCTGGTAGGGCAATCTGGGGGGACACCTGCTCTGCTGGCTAAGATGTATTCTCCTCCCGTTTCCCTCTTTGGGGTTCTCTTCGGCAGAAGGTGAGGTGTACTCTTGGGGCAAAGGGGCCCGAGGGCGGCTTGGAAGGAGGGACGAGGATGCGGCGCTCCCTCGTCCAGTGCAGCTAGATGAGACACATCCCTACACGGTGACTTCTGTGTCCTGTTGCCATGGAAACACTCTGCTGGCTGTCCGCCGTGAGTGACACCTTTTCCCACCTCACCCACACGGGGCTAACCCAGCTGGATCCTGCCCACACCCCCATTCCCGGTGGCCACAGCCCGAATCACCAAAACACATCGTTAGCCCCCCAAGTAAATGAAAGCAGAAGCTGTGGGATAAAACCGAGGTTCCTGCCTGGGGTGGGCCAGGGTGGTTCTCTGGGGCCTTATTGAAGGGCTGCCCAGTTTAGTCTGAGCCTCTATTCTGGTCTGGCAGAGTCCAGGGCCGGTGTGGAGCTGGGAGCAGTGGTGGGGGGTGCTTGCTGGAGGCTCTGTTCTCTGGGAGGCTGCAGAGGTTTCTCTCTTGTGCTCTCCAGCCGTCACAGATGAGCCAGTCCCCCCCTGAGGTACCCGGATACACCTCTGGACCACCCGGATGTTGCTGCTCCTAATGTTCTTGAAAAGCACAGGTGCCTGAAGCATGACTGTCTCCATCCGTGCCCCTGGATTACGTCTCATGGGGTGTAAGAACGGATGAAGCAAGCCCCTGCGCTGCTTTTGGCCCTGGATATGAAAAACTCCACCCACCCTATTCCCCTAACACTCCTCTTTTCCCTCCCACCCCTTCTTCTCTGAAGTCAGTGCCCTCAGGGGCCAGCTTGCCTTGAGCTGGAAGCCAGCTCTAACCCTTGGAAGCGGGTGGTCTTCAGAGGCTGGACAGAAAAAGGCTGGAGGTGGATGTGGCGCCACCCAGGCCCTGCTCCTCCTCCGGCCTGGTTAGAAAATGCATCCCTGATGCCCGCGGGGACAGCAGCCCCGGCTCTGGAGCAGTCAAGGTGGAGCCTGCCTGGAGGGCCATTCCAGCGGCCTCGCCTGTGCACTGCCTGGGCAGGGAGGGCTAGGGAGCTGCTCCCCCTCCCCTGCCCTCTGCCATTTCTCTAAAACAGGTTGGGGGAAAGGGTAACTGGCTGGCCAGACCAGTTTCCAGATGACTGGAAGAGGTGCCAATAAAAACATCAGCTGCCTGCCGAGAGTGTGGTCTCTTCAGGAGGGGGGAGTGGCTGCCCAACACTCCAGGGTTGGGCTGGGTCCCCCCCCACCCCCCATCTCGGCTGCAGGGCCGGCCCAGGTCAAGGAAGGAATGTGGGCGCAGCCTAAGACGGCTGGGTTTCCTCTGGCCCGGCGCCAGCCCTGCATCTCCTCCCGAGCCGGGCTCCCGAGATCTGGTTGCCAGGCTTCGGCTGCCTAGCACCTGGAAGCCGCAGTCCCGGGCTCCGGGGCGACACGTGGCCCCCGGGCCCGAGCTGTACCCTCGGGAGCAGCAAACCTTTGTGGCGCGGCCCAGCCCGTACCCCGGGTCCCTCCGCCCCATCTAGCGTCAGGGTCATCCCTCCGCCCCCGCCCCCTGTCCTCAGCTCCCTGCTCTGGGGGGAAGCGGAGCCACAATCTCCCTTCTCTAGCGGAAAGAGGAGCCCCCGTGTCGGGGAGGGGGCAAGCCTGGCAAAGCGCCGCCCGCAGAGCCACGCGTCCCCGGGCGAGAGGGGAGCGCGGCGCGGCCGGGCGCTAGGACCGCGCGGGCGCGGCTCCGCCCCCTCTTCCGGCCGCGGGCAGGCGGGCCGGGCCCGGCCGCGGCCAACAGTCGGCGCCGCCCGGAGCCGGGAGCGCGGCCCGAGCGTGGCGCGGGCTGTGGGGCCGCCGCGTGCCCGGCCCCGCTCGCCCGTGCCCGCCCGCCATGCCCGGCTTCGACTACAAGTTCCTGGAGAAGCCCAAGCGGCGGCTGCTGTGCCCGCTGTGCGGGAAGCCCATGCGGGAGCCCGTGCAGGTCTCCACCTGCGGCCACCGCTTCTGCGACACCTGCCTGCAGGAGTTCCTCAGGTGCGGGCCGGGGCCGGGGCCGGGGCCGGGGGGCCGGGGCGGGGGGCCGGGGCGGGGGCCCCGCATGGGAAGGGGCGCAGCCCGGGGGCACGCCGCGCCTTTGTCTGTGCCTTGGCCGGTGACCTCACGGGCGGCCTCCGTGACATCACGGGGCGGCGATGATGTCAGGCCCGGAGGGAGAACCCCACGCACGGGTCCGCGGGGCTCCGGGTGCCAGGGGCTCCCGCGCCCGGCCGGGAGAATTCAGGACCTTCCCGCGGAGCGGCGGGGGGCGAAGACGCCGTGCCCGACCCGTGGCCGGCCCTCCCCCCTCACCTGGGAGCCACGGTGGCCTCATCCTTGGACTTTGGATCCTTGTGGGAGGAGGAGGGCAGAACCCTCCCTCCCGCGCTGCACCTTAAACTTCCGGAGTTTCCACCCATCTAGCCAGCCTCTGGGTTTTTCGAACACTGCGGGGACGGCAGCTGTTCTCCCGTTTCACAGATGATGGAGCGAGAAATTGAGAGGAAGGCTGTGACTGGCCACGGCCACACAGTGTCTGTCCTAAAGGCGGGGATGCAGCCCGGGCTGTGTGTGGTCACACAATAGAGAGAGGAAGGCCTGTGGCGCTCAGATCCCAATGAAGCAGGAACCTATTGGGTGGCCCTCCTGCCCGGGGGTCTTGGGAACCTGGGGTGGCCTATAGATCCTGGGGGTGAGGGGGAGGATCGCACCCCGTCCCCTGTTCTCTGAGGACTCAGGTCGCCTGGCTCTTGGCATCCGGAGTTCTGGGCGCCCTCTGGTCTTGACTCTCCTGCCCATGCCGGGAGCCGCCCGGGCCAGCGCGGGGAGGTCACAGGGAAGGTCCAAGATCACAGGGGAGGCTGGTCAGCCGCTGCCCCGTGTCAGGAGGCTGTTTGCTGAGGGTGCGGGCAGGAGAGCATCTCTAGGGCTCCGGCCTTTAGTGCGCTGTACCTCCCTCCCTCCCTCCGTCCCTCCGGCTGTCCTCTGCAGCCCTAGCCTGGCGGAAATCTCAGCAGGCTCTTTGTTTTCCGTTCCCCACTGCCTGGGCCGGCTCCTGCCCTCACATATGCTCCTGCACAAGCTGCTGTGCTGCCCCCTCCTCCAATCCCCACCCCCTCCCTCCTCCCTTCAGTGTACACACATTCTCCCCCAGACACACAACCCCATTGTCTTCTCCAGGCCCTTCCCCAGCCCTCTGGTTTCCAGATGAGGCCAGCTGAGCACCCCCCCCCCCCCCGCAGCTGACCCACCCCCACTGCCTCAAGGAAGGATCCAGGAGGGGGTTGCAAGGCCCCTTTCCCTCCACCGCCCCTCTGCTGCGTCTGCCCCTCCTCCTCCCGGAAATCCCCTCTTCCTCTCCCACAGCCCCCTCCCCCCTTCCTGTCTTCTCCCCTGGGCCTGGGCCTCCACTGCGCAGCCTGAAGCAGTCTCTGCCCCTGCCTCCCCCTTTCCCCTAGTGCCTGCATTTTGCTGCTGAGGCCCCTGGAGGGAGGAGGGAAGAGGTGGTTGGACAGGCTCTGCCTCTCACCACCGCAGGATACCACACAAGCAAGGGTGTCCATAGCGCAGATGGGACCTTTGTCCTGGCTGGGCCCCAAGCTGCCCAGGCTAATCAGCTCGAAGCCTGGGGACTTGCCTCAGACCCCTCCCTGTCTCCAAAACCCATTAAGTCAGCACATTCCTGAAGCAGCCGAGCAGAACCCCTCCCCCGTGGCCCACCCCTCTTTCCCACTCCTGCCAGGCTGGTCCAGGAAGGCTGCTTGCCCCGTGGGCATAGACAGAGCTCATCAGTGCCTGGGCATGTATCTGCGTGGTGGCATGGCCAGAGGTCATAGTGGGGTCGGGGAGAGGAGGTGGGTGCTAGGAATCCTTTGGGCATTTGGGGCATCAGCGGCCCAGGTTCTGCAAAGTACACATGGACAGGGCTGCCATGTGGCCTGATTCCTGCCTGCCTCCCACATGACTTACATCTGCCAGAAATACCACGCCTGAGGGCCTTCAGCCCTGCTGGGTGAGCCCTCGCTCCGCCCAGGCCCTGCCAGGTGTAACTGGTCTCGGCCAGGGTCAGCAAGGTCTTACTGGCGGAAGGAGGCATGCTAACAGGTTCCTGAGTGCTAACCGCCTGCTGGCGATGGGCGGAGGGGAGGGCAGGCAGCGGGCAGGCTCGGCAGGCTTCGGGTTGCATGCAGTGCTAGAGCGGAGTCTTGGCGGTGCTTGCCTGGGCAGTTTTCTTGTCCTGGCCTCTCTTCTGCGTGCTGTTCCGTGAAACAGAGCCCACCAGAGCGGTGGGCTCAGACACAGCCAGGTGTGCTTCAGCTGTAGCTTGTTCTTCCACCTGCAGGACTGGGGATGGTCAGCCCCTCAGAGACACGTGCTTGAGGGCTGGTCGGGAATGTAAACACAGTGCCTTGGAGCAAGCCTTTCCTCCTCTTTGCTTTAGGAGACACACCCTCGTTAGGAGGAGGGAAGGGATGGGGTGAAGTGGCCCCAAGCTGACCTTTGCCCATGGTTCTTGGCTGGCACCCTCATATGGGTTGGGAAGCTTTGGCACTTAATCTCAGCCTATCCCTGTTCACCTTGCTTTCCTCCCACCCCCAATCAGCTTTCAGCCCAGCCAGTGAAAACTAGCCTGGGGGGAGGGGATGGCTGGGCAGCCTGTTCTTTCCCAGTCCAGCTGCCATCCTGGGGGAGGGGTGCCAGCTGCCACCTGTTGGCCAAATGCTGTCTGCGGCAGCTGTCTCCGCCTCCTATGGGCCCAGGATTCACCTTCCCAGGACGAGAGCTGGGGTTTTCTGGGGTCCGGAACCCTCAGGACTCTGCTCCCCCTCCAGGTGAGGCTGCCTCAGAACCGGTCTGGTGAGGGCAAGAGACTGCCCTCGTTAAGGGGGTGGGGCCTAGAGTTCTCCCTTCCCATAGAGTCGAGTCTTTTCTTTTTTTTAAACACACAGAATTCTTTATTATTTTTAAAAGTGTTTTATTGATTTAGAGAGAGGGAGAGGAGTAGAGAGGTATTATAGAAACATCCATGAGAGAGAATCATTGATCGGCTGCCTACTGCACGCCCCCTCCTGGGGATGGAGCCCGCATCCCTGGCCTGTGCCCTGGGGGAATCCACGCCCAACCACGGGGCCACATGGGCTGTGGTATGGAGTCTTGACCCTGTCTCCTCTCTTTTCAGTGAAGGAGTCTTCAAATGCCCTGAGGACCAGCTGCCTCTGGACTATGCCAAGGTGGGTCCACAGAGCCAGGCAGAGGCTCTTGCCCTTGGAGGAGGTTGGCAGCCAGTAGGCTCAGAGCCAGTGTCAATATAGTACTTCCGGATCCTGTGCCCCCACAAAGGTGGCCTGTTCCCTCCCACCAGGCCAGTTTGCAAATGAGGCCCGCATTTGCCCTGGAGGGCAGGCACAATGCCCAGCTTGTGGGGGTACACAGAGCTGCTCTGTGCCACAAGAAGTGCTCCTCTCCCCTCTGGATGGCTGGCCAGACCCGTGGCTGAGGGCCAGGCCCCCTCTACCAGAGGGAAGGAAGCAGGGGGTTTGAGGGCTGCTTGCAACTAAGCAGGCTGATTGTCATGTGCAGGCGTATTGGGACCCTGGGATCCAGCAACAGAGCACATACTGCCCGCTGGGCACAGAGGGGAAGGAAGCCCAGGAGAGGCTGTTACTGATCCTGAGGTAGAGCTAGCCCATCAAGGGGGTGGAGGAGGCAGGAAGTGGGGGCTGTAGCAGGCTCTGACCCTGACCTGGTTCCCCCATCCCCGTCCCCAGATCTACCCGGACCCAGAGCTGGAGGTGCAGGTCCTGGGCCTGCCCATCCGCTGCATCCACAGCGAGGAGGGCTGCCGCTGGAGCGGGCCACTTCGTCACCTACAGGTGAGGCTCCGACGGGGCAGGGACTCCCCTCCCTTGGCAGGTGCTAACCACCGCTCTTCCCGCCAGGGTCACCTGAACACCTGCAGCTTCAATGTAGTCCCCTGCCCCAACCGCTGCCCCACCAAGCTGAGCCGCAGAGACCTGCCTGCACACCTGCAACACGACTGCCCTAAGCGGCGCCTCAAGTGCGAGTTCTGTGGCTGCGACTTCAGCGGGGAGGCGTTTGAGGTGGGCGGGGCCTGGCTGAGGAGAGAGGGAGTGGGGCACCTGATAGCCCAGGACCTCCAACTCAGCCCCTCTGACGTTCCCACAGAGCCACGAGGGCGTGTGTCCCCAGGAGAGCGTGTACTGTGAGAACAAGTGTGGTGCCCGCATGATGCGGAGGCTGCTGGCCCAGCATGCCACCTCCGAGTGCCCCAAGCGCACCCAGCCTTGCACCTACTGTGCCAAGGAGTTCGTCTTTGACACCATCCAGGTGAGGCCCTTCCTGAGCAGGGCTGTGGGGCAGGGAGTAGGGAGTCCAGCTCCTGACCATGTCTCTGCCACCCTAGAGCCACCAGTATCAGTGCCCGAGGTTGCCTGTGCCCTGCCCCAACCAGTGTGACGTGGGCACCGTGGCCAGGGAGGACCTGCCAGGCCACCTGAAGGACAGCTGTAGCACTGCCCTGGTGCTGTGTCCATTCAAAGACTCCGGCTGCAAGCACAGGGTGAGACGCCCCTTCTTCTTCCTGTCAACCCCCTTCTCGGTCCTTAAAGCCTGACTTAGACGTAGGCTACGCCTGAGCCCTTGGCGGTCCCTGCTCTGCTGCTCTGAGTCCTTCCCTCTGCTGGCCAGCTTCGTCCTCCCAGTGCCCTCAGCCTTCCCCAGTCTGAACTGAGTGCCTGCCACCCTGTCCCCATGCCCCCTTCTACCCTGGGCCTGCCCGTCCTTCACACTCTCCTCCCTTCCCCCATGGCCTGGGGCTTTGCCAACAGTGCCCAAAGCTGGCAATGGCCCGGCACGTGGAGGAGAGTGTGAAGCCCCATCTGGCCATGATGTGCGCCCTGGTGAGCCGTCAGCGGCAGGAGCTTCAGGAGCTGCGGCGGGAGCTGGGGGAGCTGTCAGTGGGCAGCGACGGGGTGCTCATCTGGAAGATTGGCAGCTACGGGCGCCGGCTCCAGGAGGCCAAAGCCAAGCCCAACCTGGAGTGCTTCAGCCCCGCCTTCTACACACACAAGTATGGCTACAAGCTGCAGGTGTCTGCGTTCCTCAACGGCAATGGCAGTGGTGAGGGCACACACCTCTCGCTGTACATCCGCGTGCTGCCAGGTGCCTTTGACAATCTCCTGGAGTGGCCCTTTGCCCGCCGCGTCACCTTCTCCCTGCTGGATCAGAGCGACCCTGGGCTGGCTAAGCCGCAGCATGTCACTGAGACCTTTCACCCTGACCCAAACTGGAAGAATTTCCAAAAACCAGGCACTTGGCGGGGCTCCCTGGATGAGAGTTCTTTGGGTTTTGGTTACCCCAAATTCATCTCCCACCAGGATATCCGCAAGCGAAACTATGTGCGGGATGATGCAGTCTTCATCCGTGCCTCAGTTGAATTGCCACGGAAGATCCTCAGCTGAGCACAGACGGCTCCAGGACAGAGGGGGGGTGGAACACGACCTCTGTCAGGCACTGGCTGAACCTGGAGAAGGGGGCAGGACCCCCTTCAGCTGCTTCTGCAGCCTAGGTTGTTACCCTGTTTCCCCTCCCCCCTTCCTTACCACCCTCAGGTGCCTCCTATTGGTGCTTCAGCCCTGGCCGAGCAGGTCTTGGGGTCATCAAGGGCTTGGAAACAAGTGATCCTAGGGCTTGTCTCCTCTCCTGGGCAGGGCAGACATGCCTTGGTGCCGGCCACATTCTACCTGGACCGAGGTGCCTGCTGGTGCTATGTCCCAAGAGCCATAGGGGGGAGGGGGAGTCGGGTAAAGAATCTGTCTTGAAATCTGATTTCTCTTCCCTCTGTGTCTTCTGGTTATTTATTTACTTAGTGCCAGGAGGGCACAGCAGGGAGCCCTGATTTTTAATAAATCCTGAATTGTATTTATTAATTTGGTTCCAGTCTGACTCATCTGGGTGGGTTAGGGCCCTGGAAGGCTGGGCCCAATTGTGAAGGCAAAGGACCAGACTGGCAGCGGCTGCTGCCTTTGCCCCTAGAATCAGCTGCCCTGATGGGTCTCCCTCTGGTGGACGACAGGGGACGTGCACCAGGCTTTGTGTGGAAGAGATTCCTGCTGCTGCCCTCTGGTAGTGACACTTAAGCACTACATGCATTATTTCATTTAATAATCAAGTGAAATCGTCTTATCAACATAACAGAACCTATTTTAGTTCTTTTGAAGATTTAATGAGACAAAGCATGTTCTAACACAGAATAAGTGCTTGATGAATATTAACTCCAAAGCCCAGCCCAAACTCAGAGACTAAGCTGAACAAGGGGTGTATAAAGTGCTTGGATTTTCTCATCCATACTCATTTGCTTTTCATATACACCTCAGTGGGTGCCTATGATTATCCACATTTAACAGAATAAATAGGAACAAAAGAGTGCATTAACTTCAGCTGGTTTGAGGCAGGGCCTGGATTCTGTTTCAAGCTCCAGCAATTCCTAGATGTATATTTTCTTTTAATTTTGCCATAGTTAGATTTGGATCCTTAATCTTGCTTCCTTTTTGGCAAGTTACTTAGCTATATGGAGAGGCATTTTGCTCTCACTGGTGAAACTACGTGTGGGATTGAGAGTAATGAGAGTAATCCTGCTCACCTTGATTTACTATAAAGATGATCTAATCAGCATTAAGTGCCTTACTCTTGGCTGGCCCTGAGAAGAGGCCCAATGATGGAAACTTACCTAGTCGAGGAAATTCAAGGGCTGTAGTTCACACTGAGAAACAAGCACCAGCTTGGCCTTCAAAAGGTCAAATTCACAGATCTAGGAAGAAACGGGTCCTGGCTGCCTAATAAAGGTGGCCCCTTTGTCAGATAAAAACCACCCTGATACAGTGACTCTGGAAGCTAATAGGGACAACCATATGCCTGTTTCCTTAAACCTTTCAGACCTCACTGACCACTAGTGGTTCTAGGGCCACTAGTTGGCGACTGCTGCTCTAGCAGAAGAAATGTCTTAAGCACTTACTTCAGGCAGCAGATGGAACCATCTTTCCAAGAGAAGTCAGATACAATGGATCAAGTTTGGGCTGTCTCTGCCAGCAAGACTGTCACTGCACCATTCCAGGGAACGTGCTTTTTAGAGTTGTGTGCAACAATGGTGCATTGCAGTCAACTCCATACTCAGGCCTAGCCCTCATTCCAGTGGTGTTACAGGCAGTCATAGTTGCCCTGTGGAACTCAGGCCAGGTTATTTTTGTTTTTAATTCGTTTTTAATCCTCATCCAAGGACATACTTAGAGAAAGAAACATCAACGTGAGAGAGGAAAATTGATTTGCCTTCTGTTTGGTCCCAATTGGGGATCGAACTCACAACTCAAATATGTGCCCTGGCAACTCTTCAGTGCACAGGATGACGTTCAACCAACCAAAAGGGGGACTGGGGAATCTAGTTGGCCCTTGAGCAACACAAGTTTGAACTGCACAAGTCCACTTATACATGGATTTCCCCCCCCAATAAATACTGTAAATATATTGCTTTGTTTTTAAACATTTTTCTTCTTGCTCACTTTAATAGAGCATATACTACATGTAACATACAAAATATGCATTAACTGGCTGTTGTTGGTAAGGCTTCCTGTCAACAGGTTATTAGTAAAGTCTTTGGAGTCATTTTAACTTGACATTAGAGGCCCAGTGCACAAATTCACCTGGCTGGTGATCGGGGAGAGACTTTGATAGGCTGCCTTCTGCATGCCCCCAAATCTGCAACCTGGACATGAGTCCTTGACTGGTATCGAACTTAGGACCATTCAGTCTGTAGGCTGATGCTCTATCCACTGAACCAAACTTGCTAGGGCTAGAGTCATTTTAGACTATGTAGGAATGGGGGTAGTTAGAGGCACATCTAACTTCTCTACCCACATTGTTCAAGGGTCAACTGTAAGTATCTCATATTTTCATTTTATATATATAAATTTATTTCAGAGAGGAAGAGGGAGATAGAAACATCAATGATGATGCCCTGGCTGATTTGGCTCAGTGGAGAGAGCGTCAGCCTGCAGATCCAAGGATCCTGGATTCGATTCTGGTTGAGGGCACATGCCTGGGTTGTGGGCTCAGTCCAATATGCAGGAGGCACCCAATCAAAGATTCCCTCTCATCATTGATGTTTCTCTTCCTCTCTGAAATATTTTTTTTTTAAAAAAGAAACATCAGCCGAAACCGGTTTGGCTCAATGGATAGAGCGTCGGCTTGGGGACTGAAGGGACCCTGGTTCGATTCCGGTCAAGGGCATGTACCTTGTTGCAGACATATCCCCAGTAGGGGGTGTGCAAGAGGCAGCTGATCGATGACTCTCTCATCGATGTTTCTAACTCTCTCTCTTCCTTCCTCTCTGTACAAAATCAATAAAATATATTAAAAAAAAAAAAAAAAACATCAATGATAGAGGGAATCATTGATCAGCTGCCCCCTGTACGATTCCTACTGGGGATCAAACCCACAACCTGGGCATGTACCCTTGACTGGAATTGAACCTGGAACCCTTCAGTCCACAGGCCGATACTCTATCCATTGAGCCAAGCCAACTAGGGCTGTAAGTTGCTCTCAGATTCCCTCCCACTCCCCTTGCAGACAAAAAAGGGAAAAGTTCTCCAATACTAAACCCATAAGATTCACCAAGAGTTATTTTTCAGCCCTAACTGGCTTGGCTTAGTGGATAGAGCATCGGCCTGCGGACTCAGGGTCCCAGGTTCGATCCCAGTCAAGGGCATGTACCTTGTTTATAGGCACATACCCGGTGGGGAGTGTGCAGGAGGCAGCTGGTCGATGTTTTTCTTTCATTGAGGTTTCTGGCTCTCTATTCTTCTCCCTTCCTCTCTATAAAGATTCAGTAAAATATATTTTTTAAAAAAGTTACTTTTCATTTTACAGATTATAGCACTTATTACCTCCACCTCTGTCAGAGGCCCTCAGAATTCCTGTTGGAGGTGGGAGAAGTGGAGGGAGGGACATTTAGTCTTAAATAGCTTATTAGCAAGTTACCCATTTTCCAGTGACTTATGATCCTTGGAGTGAAAGTGGCAGTATCTTTCAGACCTCCACGGAAGACATACTAACCCATCAAGGCCCTAATTGTCCTGCCTAGGGAAGAGATCCTGGGTACCTCCTAGGGATTGATTACATTACAATCCCAAAACCTCTTCTTCAATAATGGATTGGGGGGAGGGAGGGCTTCTGAGTGGGATGAACAGGCTCTTAAAAATGAGACATTACTTCCCTTCCAGTAAATGAGACATTAGAAACCACTATAAACAAATAGGACAAGATTGAAAGGTGACTTTTCTTTTTACTGGTTTATAATAATCTTAAAAACCCCATCATACCCATAAACCACCACAGGTGAGAAGATGAGAGATGGAGAGTGAATGCTACAGTATGTGGACAGCTCAGGGAAACAGTATTCCCTAGGGGCAGTGTGGGATGGAGGCAGGGATTATAGATAGGAGGCCCTGGTTTAGCCTCTTATTGCTGGTTGGGGGTTGGCTGGCAGAGGGGTGAGGAGCTCGGGGTGAACTAGGAAACATCTCACACCAAAGGCAAGGGCAGTTGGGGACAAAGGTGGGGGTCACAGTACATTTTCCATGCAGATTAGGGGTGGGAGTGAGAGCTTCATAGATTTGTACCCCCACACAGGAAGAGATGGGTTTGAGGTTTGATATAAAGCCCCCACGTTGGTGTCTGGTCCAATTTTCTAAAATGGCAGCTCACCTTTTGGGGAGAGGCATTAGAAAAAAATCACAGCAAAAGTATCTGGTTTGGAGCTCAAGCAAGGGTTAGGGGGAGACAGCAGTGCTCTTTCAATTGAACTCAGAGAAGGAAGAACTGGAAGGGGACCTTGGGTGAGATGGTGGCCAACACCTCGGGAGAAGGCATTGCACCAGGAGCAATCGGCGCTCCTGGGGGCTCAGGGACAGGGAGGTACCAGTGTGCACAGACGTCAGGAAAACAATCAGGAACAATAAATTAGGACTTCATGTTGCTATCATTTGGCATAACACAATCAGGCTTTTTTTTTTCTTCTATTTTTAAATATAAGGCAACTTGCCAACACATAATTTAAAAACTGGTCTTCAGTCACATTGATTCAGATCACTAGGAATTCTGGCTAAAGAACAGTGGATAGTAAACAAACCCCCAAATTTTAAATAAGACCATCAGCTCGCATTCCCCAGAGTAGAGAGGAAAAGGGGCCTATTTGGTTAAGGGGAGAGAGAGAGGAAAAAGAGGGAAAAAAAAAAAAAAGGCAGAGCCCAACTATGCATCTTTAACAGGAGGGTACAAAAAAATGTACAAAACAATCTAAAGTTACAGAAAAGTTTGAATTACTAGCCAGCTAATTGTCTCTTGGGAATTAGATGTGTTGAGCATGGAGTGGGTATGAGCGAAGAGTGAGCAAGGGGCGAGAGGGGCTGTTTCCAATGTACACCCATCTTCAGCTGTTAGAACCATGCTCATTTGGTAAAGGAAGAATTCAAAGAGCTTAAGGCTTTGTGTTTTTCTTACTTTCTTCATCAAACTGAGGGGCTGCAAAAGGAGGTGTCTAGAAGGTGTATGTACCTGTGGGGCCACTCGCACACAATGCTACTCAAATCCACACTACATTCATACAGAAACATGACATAAAACTTACAGTGTAGAGCAATATTCTTAGCCAGTGTAGAGAACCAAAAAGCCTTTTTTTTTTTTTTTTTTTTTTTGGTGTTTTTAATTCCAAACTCCAATGTGATCATCCCTTATCTACCCAATTCCTCAAGTAGGATCAGTTTTTTTGTTATACTTGTTTTTTTGGATGGGGATGGGGAATGAGGGCAGCAGATGAGTTATGAGTGGCAACAGTGAGAAAAGGATCTTAAGATATGCTGCATGGTCACTGCATTTCTCTAGGCTGGAAAGGGGAATAAAAAAACCAAGATACCAACACAAAGACACTTTTTCCCTCCTATGTCTCAAGGCTACGGCCAAGTGTCTGCAGAATGCCCTTGAGAAGTGTGGTAAGGTTAAGCTCAGTGGCTCTGGGATCAATGTAGACATAAACGCCTTAAGGAATGAAGAGAGGCTGAGCAGAGATGAAGACTGTTCAGTTTTGATTTGAGGTCTTTGCGGTGAATAAGGAATTAGGTTCCAGAGCACTTGGGAAGCCTGGCTTTTTAGTCCTAGAGAAAGAGAGACAGAAAAACAGACAGAGGTCTAGCTTAGGAGGCTGGGCACCTATAGTGACCTCACCTAGGGCCCTTAGCTCACTTCAGTCCTAAGGGGAAAAGGCAGAGCAGGAAAAGACAGGAGGTGGCTGGTGGGGAACGCAAAGGGGGGAAGGGAGATGGACTTGGCATAGGACTGACAGGCAGGCAGCGAAGAAAAAAGCCTAGATTGGGATTAGGTTCTAACATAAATCCCCAAAAACTGCCAGGGCTGGTGGAGGGGAAAGAATGAGGGCACAGAGAATCCCCCTCTGTCCCCAATTAGATCCCACTAAGTTCCCTTTCTTAGAAATCTAAGAATGATCACATTGGAGCAGTAAAAATTTGAAACTATCCAATTACCCAAAAGTAAGACTAAACCTAGGGCTGTATGATGTACAGCTTACGAGGGCACCGGGACTACCTATCTATATCCAGGGTGCTGAATATGAAGACTTCGACTATCTGTGGGGTCTGGGGCTCGGCTGCCAGGGGCTCGATGAGCCTTGTTTAGCATGGCCAGGCTCTGTTCTCGGAAGCAGGCCTGCTGGAAATCCCCACTTAGGTAATCCACTGTTTGCATCAAACTGTTCTGGCTTGCCACCGGAACGCCCCCGGTCCCTGCTCGATAGTGGGCCCCAGCAGCCGCCGCACAGTCAAGGGGTGCGCCCGTGGGCTGCCCACCGTGGAACGGCATGGTGAGGTCCTGAGACCCCGAGCTGTCGCTATTGGGAGTGGGCAGAATGTTGTTCCACAGGGGTTGGAAGTAGTGACCATTGGGGTAGGCCAATGGGGCTGCCAGGCCGTTGACCGGTGGGGATGGGGTTGGCTTCTCCATGGGTGGCTTCAAATGGAAGGACTGTGCCAGGCAGAGTTCCTGCGGGTAGGCAGGGGCCTTGCTCACAAAGCCAGGCCCTGCCAACTCGCGTCCTGTTGCATGCTTGCCTGTCAGACCAGGGGCCGGCGTCCCACCAGCCTCACTGCACATCTGTTGTAGGTGGGCCAGCTGATGCTGGTTCCAGGCAACTGGCTTGAGGTCGTTAGGATAGCCAGTGGGGGCTCGAGAGATGCCCGTGGGCAGGTTGACAGGGCCTGCAGCAGGCAATGCGGCTGCGGCCGCATGGGTGTGCTCCATGGGATTGACCACACATGAAGGCATTGGTGTGGGGATGCTGTGGGTCGACACCCGGGTGCTTGCATTGATGAGCAGACTGCGACTAATGGGGCTGGGGTTGGCGATCTGGCCCTCACACACTGAGGTAGTGCTGATGCCTGCCCTCGTCTGGCAAAACTGGTTGATCTGGTGCACAATGCTGCTCAGGTCCGGGGGCTGGCTGTGCTGCAGAGTGGCCGCCATTGAAAGGGGGATAGTTGAGGTAGACACGGTCACATTCGGGGGGGCATCTGAGTCTGGCATCTTCCGGCCTCCATGCAACAAGGAACTGGGGGGATGATGGAGACCTTGATGAGACAGACCCTGAGGGTGGACCAAGCCCTGGGTTTGGGCCATGGGCTGAGGGTGGCCCAGGCCCTGAGGCTGCTGGAGGCTCTGAGGATGGGGCAGCGCCTGGGGTGGCGGGATACCCTGAGGGTGCTGCAGCGTCTGGGGAGGGGCATGGGCCAGGGTCTGTGCATGCTGCAGGGCCTGCTGGCGGGCCAGAGCCTGGGCCTGTGGATGGGCTAAAGTGCTGGGTGCCACAGTAGCATAGGGCACCACTGGGGGGTTCATGATGGCCTCAGGGAGCAACCGGGCTCGGGTGCCGTCAAAGTCCTTGAGTATGCTTTTGGCTGGCACTTTGACAATGGCAAGCAGGCCTGCCTTGGTGGCAGCCTGAGTCGGGTAGGGGCTGTAGCGCTGGGCTGATGTGTCGAGGCCGTTCACAGTACGACGAACGTGTTTCCGCTGGGGAACCTTCACACTGTTGGGGAAGATTTTTATAGTCAGTGGGTTGTTTGCGACCTTCTTAGCATACGCGTCCAATTCGGCTGGGGTAGGATAGTGAGCAGTTCTCATTTTCTGTGTAGTGTCCCCTAGAGAGAGAGAAGGGGAAGGAGAGCAAAGAAGGAGAGGGAGCTCATCAGTGCCAAGCCAACCAGCCTTCTAGATTCCCCTTTTGAGGGTGTAAAAGGTGGGGAGGTGAGGGGCTAAGTTGTCTCCCTAGCCTTTGAGGCCCCATCAGAATTTATAATGGGCCAGGCCTTGTGCTAAGTGTCAGGCTATCTCAACGAATACTGCTTTAGGAAGCAGATACTATCATGATGCTTGTTTTACAAATGACATCACAAAAGACAGAAATAGCAGAGCAACTTTCAAAAGTCCAGTATCTGGCAGAGACAGAAGCTGGCCAATTCTCACAGAGTTGTTCAACACTGAGCTCTCTCCAAGTTCCTACCGGCCCATGCTGGCCTGGGTATTGCCGATTCTAAGCAGAGCTGCTTGTGAGAGCCCTCAGTCCCTTTCCCCAGGACATCCTGGTAAAGAGGGCAGCCAGAGTGACTACTCTTCCATCTGCAGTGGCCAGTGAGGCATCAGCTTTCTCCTTAGCACTGGCAGCTGGGGCATCATGCCCATTGGGTGGGCATCCTGGCACAGTAGACAGGATGCTTCTTTTTTAGGAGCAGAGGAATAAGCTGCCAACATCACTCTCCCATCCCATGTCACAAGTTCACTTTTGTTTACAGCTTACTTTCAGCCTGATTGGTAAAGATCAAAAGGCTTTACTTCCTTGAGGGGGGTGACAATAATGACAGGGCAGCAGAGAGGGAATTTGAGAAGAAAGGATTCAGAGAATCTTTTAAGTCCTGAGAGCCAAAAATAGTCTGTATTGGCCCTTGTCAGCTGTCACTTTCCAAAATGAAAGAGGAAAAATCTGACTTCCTTTGGAGACTGCAGAATTACTCATTCAATGCGCCTCATTAATGTTAACAGTCTCTTTGTTCCCATCTCCAGTTGCCTCCCATCAGGGGGCTCCAGCGGATGTTGTGCTTCCAGTCAAAAAGGAAAAGGTTCTGAGAACAAGAGCTCTTTCAGGATGCCAGGCTCCTGCAAGGGGTCTCTGCTCTGTTATCCCTGTCTCTGAGGGAGGATCTCCCTGAGTTTACACAGAAGGTGCTTAATAAAGGCTTGCTGAGTGACTAAGTACACAAACTGCCCAAAGCGAAGGAAGGGGGCTTGGCTGGGACCGAGGCTCAGCGAGCGGATTCCCTCCCTACTTCCTCCTCTCGCAGAGGCAGCCATACAGAGCAGGGACTAGGCTGACTGAATCTGGGCTTGTGACTTCAGCTGGCTTGGCTCAAAGAGACCTTATTTGAAAATCATGTCACTGGGCATCAACTGGAAGAGAAGTAGGCTAGTGAGTGTGCTAAAGATGAGGGCACAGCTGCCATCCTTTGGTGGCATTGCTGGTTAGTTGGCAACAACTGCTTAGAAACTGCTGTTCTTGGAAGCAGGAAAAGAAAGCTCAAGTCTAGGATGGGCAGATAATTCAGGTCCACACTCAAGAATGTAGAACTTAGCAAAAAGAGTACAGAAAGGAAAAGGCTTAATGCTTTCAAATACTGGAATAATGCCTTGAACTTAGTAGATAGGTAAACGTATTTAAGGATCTGCCCTGTTTACCAAATAAATGCTCTACCCATAAAGGAAATGTCTGTAACATCTTAAAATGATGAATGTGATGATGACAATTGGGGTAGGAAGGAGAGGAAGACAGAGAGGCTCATAAATCGTTCCCATCCACTAGGCAGCACTAGCTGCTGAGGAGGGTCAAAGCTCTGAGAGCAGAGTTTGAGTTCTGCTTCTTGTAAGCCACTCTCCCTTAACTGCCACGCGCCCAAAACAGAAACTATCTCCACACTCCATGATATTTTGAATTTAATTGCATCTATAGACGTACAAATGGTTAATGGGCTTCAGTCTCCATAAAGTGGAGACATTTTCTGACCCTTCTTACATTCTTCTTGACAATAAGACAAAAAAAATAAAAATAAAAAATAAAAAAGCCTACAATCACTGAGAGATAGGTAGTTCCTAAACTCAAGGTACCAGAATTCCATTAGAAACTGGCCTGGTCAGCCACTGGACTTAGGTGTCTGTCTGTCTGGTCAAAATCATGTAACACTCCTAGCTCAGTGTCTTAGCTAGAGCAGATACGTAGCAAATACTTGTTAAGTGCCATCAGTATGGGGACTGCCTGACTGAACAAATGGGCTGAGGAATGGGAGTTTGAAGCTATTGAGTTTTAGTTCAGACAGGAAATAATGGTCTGCCCTGGGTTCTCCTCCATGTTAGTGGGCTTTTCTCCTTGAAGGCCAAGAGAGAGGAATATAGTTAGGCTTGTTGAATAACAGAGTTCCTTCTTAAATTTTATTTATTTATTTATTTTGAGAAAGAGAGAGAGGAAGGTGGGTGGAGGGAGGAGCGAGGGAGAAGAAGAAAGAAGGAAAAAGGAAGAAGATGAAGAGAGAGGGCACAAGCCATAGATTTGTTCCACTTATTCATGCATTCATTGGTTGCTTCTTGTATGTACCCTAACCGGAGATCAACAGAGTTCCTTTTTTCAAGTCAGTACTAACTCTCAGGTGGTTGTTTTTTTTTAGCAGAGGCAGAAGGGACGCATTCTGGAGTATGACACTGACATTGATTAGTTTTTTTCCCCCAACAGGTCAAGGCTAATTAGTTCTTCTTGTCCTGCCTCCACTGATGGTGACAGCAGTGATGGGGGTAGTCAAATAAATGGACAAGAATCAAAGGGAAGTATTGGATGGAGGGGAGGGGAGACACAGGCTACAGTATTTTTATTAAGGAAGAATCTCAAGGATGAGATGAGTATATTGGACAAGAGGCCATATTCTGGGAATTCAGTACCAACCACTTCACTTATCAGACTTAAGTCCAGCCCTTTAAAAAAGGTCAAGTTTTAAAATAATAATAATAAATAAATAAATAAATAAATAAATAAATAAGGTCAAGTTCTTTACAATACTTTTTAAAAATAAAAATTTTTAAATTGATTTCAGAGAGAAAGGGAGAGGGAGAGAAAGAAAATATCAATGATGGGAGGGAATAATTGATTGGCTGCTTCCTGCACACCACCTACTGAAATTGAACCCACAACCCAGGCATATGCCCTAACTGGGAATTGAACCCTCAATTCCTGGTTCATATGTTGACCCTCAACCACCGAGCCACTCCAGCCAGCTGTCAATATTTTTTATCTCAGTCTTCACACACAGGCATCCTGAAGTCTCTGTTTTTTCTATAACATCACTGTGCACAGCTAACATAGATACCACAGCTTTGTAAGCAAACTATTTATATATCAAATGCCAACTGAGTCATTAATCAAACACGAGGCAGTATAAAGAGTAGGGAATATGTGGTTAGAAAAAAAAAGAGATCCAGATTCAACTACTGACTTTATCATCTAACTACCCAGTCTCAGGTCATTCCTCATTTATAACAAAAAGGTATATGATATCTACTGTCCTGCTTCAGAGGATTACTAAGATCAAGAGATCCAATGAATGGGAAAATAATCTGTGGACAGGAACAATGACTGTCGATATTTATCATTCAAGGATATCAGTTTTGGTTAAGTCTGTCCAAATATGGACAAAGTAACCTGACAAAGGAAGCTCCAACTGCAGGACACCCTGGACTTGAGTCTGAGAGTTAAGTGTCGCCGAAAGCACTTTTGTCTGTTCTTGGGGGAAATCTGTTTGAATACAGCTTCCCCACAGGGACCTCCCTATGTATCCTATTTTGAAGGTCAGATGACAAGGGTGGCATATACAGCAGAAACCTCTATCTATAGGTGGAGTGGCACAAGCAGTGTATTTCTAATACAAGCTTTGGAACCTGACCCAAGTGTGAGTTCTAGCCCCATCACTGAACTGTAATGTCATGTTGGCAAGTGGCAAACACTCTGTGCCTCATCCTTAAAAGAAAGATAAGAGTGTCTCCCATACAGAATTATTGAGGAATGAATAACAACATATATAAAAACACTCAACAGACCCTAGCCGGTTTGGCTCTGTGAATAGAGCATCGGCCTGTGGACTGAGGGTCCTGGTTTGATTCTGGTCAGGGACATGTGCCTGGGTTGTGGGCTCGGTTCCCAGTGTGGGGCATGCAGGAGAAAGCCAATCCATTATTCTCTTTCATCATTGATGTTTCTATCTTTCCCTCCCTCTCCCTTCCTCTCTGAAATCAATAAAAATATATTTTAAAAAACATAAAAATACTCAACAGGCCCTAGCCGATTTGGTTCAATGGATAGAGTGTCAGCCTGTGGACTGAAGGGTCTCCGGTTCAATTCCGGTCAAGGGAACATGCCCGGGTTGTGGGCTCAATCCTCAGTAGAGGGTGTGCAGGAAGCAGTTGATCAATGATTATCTCTCATCGTTGATGTTTCTATCTCTCTATCCCTCTCCCTTCATCTCTGAAATAAATAAAAAGTATTTAAAAAATGTATATATATTTTTAAAATGCTCAACAGTGTGGTGACTGTAGGAGGGGAGTGAGTGGAGTTGGAAGAAGGAATAGAGGAGATTTATGGTGATGGAAAAAATAAAATAAAATAAAAATAAAAAACTCAAAATAGTACCTGGCACATGGTTAGCAACTCAACAGATGAACAAATATTAGTTAATATTGCTGATATTTCTATGAGTTTATTCAATCATTTGGGCCAATTAACAATTTCCAGACCCTTCCACTAGGGGGCAGATAGACATACTAAGAAGCAGTAAAAGAACTTTGACATTTGTTCCAGCTCCAAAAAGACGATTTGAAAACCAAGTTCTTAAAAAAAAAAAAAAAAAAAAAAAATATATATATATATATATATATATATATATATATATATTTTTTTTTTTTTAATTGATTTTAGAGAGGAAGAGAAAGGGAGAGGGATAGAAACATCAATGATGATTGAATCATTGATCGGCTGCCTCCTGCACACTCCACACTGGGGATAGAGACCACAACCCAGGCATGTGACCTGGGGGCCTTCAGTCTGCAGGCTGACGCTCTATCCACTGAGCCAAACTGGCTAGAGCAAACCAAGGTCTTTTGATCATTTCAGCCATTCATCCAAAAGTATTTATTGAGCCACTACTATATACCTGACCATAAACTGAGCTTGGAGTTAATAAAGAAATAATGTTCGCTGAAATCGGTTTGTCTCAGTGTCGGCCAGCGGACTGAAGGATCCCGGGTTCGATTCCAGTCAAGGGCATGTACCTTGGTTGCGGGCACATCCCTGGTGGGGGGTGTGCAGGAGGCAGCTGGTCAATGTTTCTCTCATAGATGTTTCTAGCTCTCTTTCCCTCTCTCTGTAAAAAGTCAATAAAATATATTTTTTTAAAATGTTTAAAAACACATTTTTTCTGGATGATTAGGAGAAGATGGGTCAGAGGAAAACAAATTTCTAAGTACAGAATTCCAAAATGGTTAGGACTCTCAAAGCAAGTAACATCACGGAACATATATAACCTAGAAAAGCTCTAGGAAGGCCTCCTTCTAACCCTAACTCTGGTCCTCTACCAAGTCCAGGACCCACACCAAACCCAGACTTCTTTAATCCAGCCTTCCCTGTGGCAAATTATACATCTAGGATGGGAAACACATTACATTCTCCTACACACACTGAACAGGAAGGAGAGAAGAGAAAATGTGGAGTTAGAAGGAATCAATCCTGTGACTATATCTATACATGTGGTGACTCAAACCTGGGGAAAGTGATTAGCCAGGTGACTTATAGTGCTGGGCCAAGAAGCCACACATCCTGACTCCTGATCCAATTCTCTTGCCTTGAGCTGACTCTTACAACATAAAGCCCAGTAAGCTATCAACATCCGTATCTCATCCCCATCCCACCAGATATCAAGCTCTGGGTTTCTAGGAACTTAGAAGACCCTTCTAAGAATGGGTGTAGGGAAAAGCTGAATTACAAGTCACAAACTGGTTTTAAGGTTTCTATAACTGGTAAGCTTGGGTTCTAAGCAGTTCTTTAGTTGTTGGTTCCTAAAGAAGACAGCTTATGCTCTATCTCACCTTAACAGTAAATATTTAACACTAACAGCTATGAGTCAAGATTTTTCTTTTTTTTTAAAATACCTTTTGGGAGATGGGAGAAGCAAGCAAGCAGGCTTAAAAATACTTCTCCTCTGCAAAGTATTTTTTTAGTATTTTTTAGTATTTTAAAGTATTTCTCCTCTGCAAAGGTGTGGATTTAATTAAGGATAGCAACAAGAGAGTCAAAGAAATTAAAATACACTGTCCCCCAAGTGGGCTGGTGAGTCTGAAACCAGGAAAGAAGGATATCTCAATTCTCCAATATAGACTAAGGAGTGGTTGGCAGAGGCTACTTAGGAGCTTCTTTGAGGAAAAAGAAAAGTGGAGATCTCAATGTCAGCATCCAAGATAAAGCTGCCAATTTGCCTTTCCTCCCAAATGGCTCATCCCTTGATATCACATCTCTAGGTGAAGCTGTCAAAGTAAGCTAAGAAATATAGAAGACAGTGAACTGCTCTTTATCATCTTATTGTATGCTTGCAAGTATATCCCCTTTCCAGTGTGTTCTCTGGAACCCATAACCAGTCACAATGCAGTAAGCATGGAGATTTGGGTGGCCAGGAAGCACACATACAACTTCACCCGTCATCACTTAAGAAGAGAAAGGCTGGGGGGAAAGCTGGCATATCAGAGCTTGCCTATTGCAACTACCTTCAGTTTTGTCATTATACAAGTTGGATTCATTGGCCAAATCCTAGAACTAGCCAGGCTCTGAGTCTTACTCTCCCTCAAAGAAAGGAAGTCAGAAGCTAGATTATTTTAACTTCTGAAGATGATCTCATAGAGCAGGGTCAGTAAACTATAGTCTGTGGGCCAAAATCCAGCTGCTGTTTTTAATTAAGTTTTACTGGAACACAGTCTCATGCATTGTTTACATACTGTCTAAAGCTACCTTTGCCCTACAATAGCAGAGCTGAGTAGGTGCAACAGAGAACACGGCCCACAAAGCCTAAAACATTTGCTATCTGGCCCTGTACAGAACCCTCTCATAAAGGATTCAGGTAAGATGTTGAAGCACCTTCTCTATTAAAGGGGAAGTGTAGATGTTTCATTGATTTCCCCTTTTTGCTCTAAAAGGAAAGTCTATTCCAAATATAGGGCCATTTTGACACTTGAAGATGCTGTACATGGTAATGAACCAGAAATAGAATAATTCCTTGCACATTCTGCAGTTCAAGGATAGAAGGTAGTAATCTGGGAAGCATGAAGTACAAAGCCCCAATTCCAGCCAATTTGAGACAAAAATCTAACAGACAATTCTCAAAAGCTCAATCAAGTATATTAGCAGGAATATACCAAAAAGACTGAGAGAGCTAGCTCTTTATCCCTCTGAAGGCAGAAGCTTCTTTACTTCCTATGAACTGAGGTCACTGGCTCAGAAGGCAGACAGCAAAGCCAAAGGGAATTGTCTGTTTCCATGGTAGAGAGTACTCAGAGAGCTCAAAACAACAGAACAATGTAAATAGTCTGTTTCTGAGATATAATAAGTAATAGGAACTGTGTATTTTCATTCAATTCCTCGTGGGGATTCAATTTGAGATACTTTTTTTTAAAAGGGTGATTATATATCTCCTGCAAAATTCCTTATAGCATGCAAGAGAGATATCAGCAACAATTAAAATTAAGATGCTATATACCCTTGGAAATTCTAGTATTTTAGAGGATCTCTCTGATAAAAAGTATCTCATATTGCTGACAAGTTTTTGCAATTGCTTTCTTTTGTCTGTATTGCAGGATATCTTGAAGATATCAAAGCCCACAGTCAATGTACCCCTCTGCAACAAGCTCAAATGTAGGGTCAAAATAAAGGATCACATTCTTCCCTGGGATCCAGATTACTTACATTTCTGAAGTCCAGTGTTCATCTGCGTGTGAGAAAGAAGCTGAAAGGACAGGTCACCTGGCCCTGGTAGACAGGCTAGCATGGCAGACCGGCATCAACACAACATGGGGCAGTCACTCACACTGTAATGAACAAAAAACAAGGTCATGGAACACAAGGCAACTCACTCAAGGAAGATACCAGGGATATCTGATATGAGTAGCACAGGCCCAAGTTTAGATAGATAAGCAATTTAATTAGCATGTTGGCAGAAAATATATCTATGTTCTTATCTGAAGCAACAATTTGCTCCAAATTATTACTAAGGATAAAATATTTCAGTCAGCACAGATGAGTGAGTGGGGAAAAGAAAATCTACCTATTCACATAATTAAATGAAAAGTACAGACACTGGGGATGTGCCCCCAACCAAGGTACATGCCCTTGAGCTGAATCGAACCTGGGACCCTTCAGTCCACAGGCTGACGCTCTATCCATTGAGCCAAACCGGTTTAGGCTGTAAGGTCTTTTATGCTTACAAGCTTTAGATGCACTCATTTAGCATTTCCATTTCCTGTAGGTTGCCTCTATCATGGGCTTTTGGAAAGGCCCACGGGGTTGCCAAATGAATGGCACGCTGGCTCTCATCTGTGTCCCAGCTAAGAAGGGAGCAGCAAGGCTAGGGCACATTCTTCCTGAGGTGAAGGGGAAAATGGTTTCTCTCTGAAAATAGAACAGTGTTCCTGAAGACAGCTGGTCCTCATAGGGCCTGGCTTAGTCTATGTACATGGTTGGTTGGGAGCCGGGGTAGTCAGTCATTTCCAGAAGCAGTACAGTACTTGAGTTGCAAAAGCATCCAAATTTTCACTGTGACACTCCAGTAACCTGAACTCACTTTTAAAAGGAAGAGAAAGCAAAATATCCTAGGAGACACAATTAACTACTGTTAAAGCAAATTCTGTTTGTAAGTTTCTGGTGATTCACCTTTCCTATTCCCTGTGACACAATTAGACCTCTTGGATCCCACCCCACCCCACCCCAAAATTGTATTGCACCCCAAGGAAATTAAGGTAGTAGTAGGCGGCTAGAGGGCAGGCAATCTGACATTATGTCAAGATGGCATTGTTTCATCAGTGCTGTCTACCAATAAGATATACACAACTCAAGCAAGCAAACATTGAGTAGGGAAGGAAACCTTGTCAACAATGCTAAGCAAGTTACTTGTATACCAAGGACCAAGTTTTTTCCAAAGAAGTATAATGTACTAACACACATGAAATTTTTTTCTCATACTGAAAAACCGAGAAGTCAAGATGGCATGTTAAGGCTTTACATCACAATATGTGGAGGAAAAGCTCAAATGTTAAACAAAGATCACAAAAGCTCTTCTTTTTCTTAGAGGGCCCTCTCAGGTATGTGGAATTATCCTGTCATGATGAGTATCAGAAAGCTCCAGCTTGCAAGTCCAGGTAGCTGAAAAGATACTTTGTAAAAGAGGCTGCTCACTGTGGCTAAGATAGCAACTGCAGAAAGAACTAAAGATTGAATGCCTCAATGAGAACAGAGCCGCCCAGAGTTCTGGCACAGATTCAGTCTTTTCAGGCCTCTGGTAGGTAGGATAACAGAATGAACAGTATGCCAAGAATAAAGTCTCCTGTTGGGATCAAATGACTGCGGTGCTCAGAATCCCATTCCTTGTGAATGCTGATCTCTTCCTAATAACCTGTCCCCTCTGGTTCTAATATAGCTGAACGCAAACTCCAAGGAAAAGGAATTAACAAATACTAGAGACTAATATTGTGAAATGAGCTGTATGAAGGACTCTAGTGATGTTTTCTTAATTAGGTCTCTCAACCTTTCTTGGAATAGGTAACAATTTCATATGTCATCTCATCATCTGTAGCCTGGACTACAATAGTCTTCTGCATAGTCTCTGTCCACCCACCCCCATTTGCTCCTGTAACCCAATCTATTCCCCACACAGCAGCCAGAGTAATTAATTTTTTAAATTGGGAATCTTATTAAAAAATCTCCAATAACTTCCTGTTTTGTAGAAATACAAAATCCTAACATGCCCATAAGGCCTTCCATAATCCTACCTCTCTGACCTCATCTTTTTTTTTTAAAATATATTTTATTGATTTTTTACAGAGAGGAAGAGAGAGGGATAGAGAGTTAGAAACATTGATGAGAGAGAATCATCGATCAGCTGCCTCTTGCACACCCCCTACTAGGGATGTGCCCTCAACCAAGGTACATGCCCTTGACTGGAATCAAACCCAGGGCCTTTCAGTCCGCAGGCTGACGCTCTATCCACTGAGCCAAACCGGTTTCGGCTTTTTTTGTTTTGATTAATTCTCACCAGAGAATATTTTTCCATTGATTTTTAGGGAGAGTGAAAGAGAGAAGGAAAGACAGAGAGAAACATCGATGTGAAACATATCAATTAGTTGCACGAGTCTTGACTGGGACCAGGCTAGGGAAGACCCTGCAACCAAGGTACCTGCCCTTGACCAGAATCAAACCCAGGACCTTTGGTCCGCACACTGACACACTATCCATTGAGCCAAATTGGCAAGGGCTCTGACCTCATCTTCTAACCCCCAGTCCCCTCTTGCTGATTCTGTTTCTAGCCACAGTGTTCTCCTTGCAGGTCCTTGAAGGAGCGGAGCACACTCCCACCTCCAGGCTTTGTACTTCATCCAGATAACTGAGACGCTGTAATGATGAAAGTACAAATACATTCACTTAGCAGTCTTGCAAGTAACACTCTCTCTTGTAATTTTTAGAAGGAACCAATCTATAATTGACCACCATAATCTCTTTTATATGTATTACATTTTGATGTGTGCAAACATCGATGAGATAATCATCTATAAGCTACCTCTTAAACAAGAGACTGACTACTGTATCTAGTTTACGATAATATTCGAATTAGCTTTCATTTCTTTAAAAAAATATATTTTTTATTGATTTTTACAGAGAGGAAGGGAGAGGGACAGAGAGCTAGAAACATCAGAGAGAATCATTGATCAGCTGCCTCCTGCACATTCCTACCAGGAATGTGCCCACAACCAAGGTACATGCCCTCGACAGGAATCGAACTCAAGACCCTTCAGTCCACAGGCCAATGCTCTATCCACTGAGCCAAAACGGTTAGGGCTAGTTTTCATTTCTTGAACATAAAACCAACAGAGCCAAAGAAGTAACACTGGATAGCAAGGGCAAATCATTGTCTTATGAGTTTTCCAAAGGGGAAAACCCACAGATAAACATACTTTTATTGCACTTTGCTCTATTTTGGCTCACAGATATTCCCCTCCTCCCCCAACAAATCAAAGGTTTGGCCCTGGCTGGTGTGGCTCAGTTAGTTGGGCGACCTCCTGTGCACCCAGAGGTTGAGGTTTCATCCTGGGTAGGGCACATATCCTGGGTTACAGGCTCAATACCCAGTAGAGGGCATGCAGGAGGCAGCCAATCAATATTTCTTTCTCACATTGATGTTTCTCTCCCCCTCTCTTCCTCTCTAAAATAAACTAAAAAAAATTTTTTTGAAGATTTGTGGCAACCCTGCATTAGGCAAGTTTATTAGTGCCATTTTTCCAACAGGTTCAAATAATGGTTGGCACTTTTTAGCAATAAAGTATTTTTAAATTGAAGTATGTACATTTTTTAGACATAATGCTATTATTGTGTACTTAACAGCCTACAGTATAATGTAAGCATAAGTTTTATATGCATTAGGAAACAAAAAAAAAATACATGCAATTTACTTTTTTGTGATACTTGCTTTATTGCTGTGAACCTGAGGAATGCCTATAAAGACAAATGTCAACTGGAGCTCAAATTACCTTTAGGAATCTGGATTAACAAGAGAACTATATCAAAGTGGTTAAGATAAGACTTTGGATTTTAATCACAGCTCTGCTACTTACTAGCTGTGTGACTTGGGAAAGACACTTAATTTCTTTCTTTTTTTTTTTTTTTTTAAAATATATTTTATTGATTTTTTACAGAGAGGAAGGGAGAGAGATAGAGAGCTAGAAACGATGAGAGAGAAACATTGACCAGCTGCCTCCTGCACATCCCCCACCGCGGATGTGCTCGCAACCAATGTACATGCCCTTGACCGGAATCGAACCTGGGACCTTGGGACCTTTCAGTCCACAGACCAAAGCTCTACCACTAGCCAAACCGGTTTCGGCAAGACATTTAATTTCATCTACAAAAATGTGCCTGCTTCCTGGAATTGTAAGGATTCAATAGGTTTAATGTTGATATAATCAACTGCTTAGGATACTGGTACTAACCAGGTAGTGAACACTATTTAAATGTTGACTATCACTTTCCCAATCTATTAAATCTAAGATGCCCCTCCCATTTTACCCCTCTACCCGGTTTCCACCCTACCCCAGGCTTTCACCACCCTATTGTCTAGGTCCATAGGTAATGCATATCTACACTAATAAAAGAGCAATATGTAAATCGACTGTACCCCATGAAACCCACCAGCCAATCAGGAATGAGTATGCAAATTAACACACCAAAGATTGTGGGTTAATTTGCATGCACAGGCCCAGAGCGAAGACTGAAAACTACTGAAGGCTTGGCTTCTCTGCTAAGGCCTGGGTCCTGAGTGCTAGAGAAAAACCAGTGCTGGCAGCCATGGGAAGGAAGGCCTATTGCACCAATTTTCATGCAATGGGCTTCTAGTATGTATATAAGATCTTTGGTTAATCTCTTCCTGTTCCCCAACCTCACTCTCTGAGATTCCATGCCTCTGATTCTATTTTATTCATCAGTTAATTTTGTTCATTAGATTCCTTATTTATTTTTATTTTTAGATTCAATTGCTGATAGATATGTGTTTATTGCCATTTTATTGCTCATATTTTATATTTTACTTCTTCCTCTTCTTAAAGAATACCCTTCAACATTTCATGTAATACTGGTTTGTTGGCTAAACTCCTTTAGCTTTTTCTTGTCTGTGGAGCTTTTTATCTGACCTTTAAGTCAAAATGAGAGCTTTGCTGGGTAATCTTTCCTTTTGGCATCCCCATAATGCGAATGTGGGTACACTTGAAGTTGTCCCAGAGGCTCCTT